AAATAAGAGAAATTCTCACGGGCGCTATCTAATTACTGCCAAACGTCGCCGTTAGTATCCCCGATGTTGACCTTTACCTTTCGACCTCCAAGGAGTACTACACGTGCGCGAGTAGTCGACGCGTGCGAACCGGCATTACGGAGGGTAGTTGATATCCCGGGGATATAAGGGGAGGCATGAAGGTCCGGGGTGAGAGATTACGATTTCATTGGCACGAGCCAAACGACATATGTTCACGAACAGCTGATGCATTTACTAATAAGTCTCTTTCTCTATCTCTCCGAGCACGCGATCGCACGATCCCCGGCGCACACGCGTGTGTGCACCACCGCCGTGTACAGAGAACCTGGGAAAGTAAAAACCCCGCGACGCGAGTGTGAGAAAATTCGTGCGCCGCCGCATCTGTCGGCTACACGTTGCAGCAACGACGGGAACTTCGTCGGAACGCCGTTGCAACACGTGTGCTAATAATCGATTCTGTTGCCGCCGCGCGACTATGCTATTATCAACCATGATTAACATATGTGAGACCCGCTTTGACGTCAAAGAAGTTCATCACAACATGTTTTTTTATTTGCGATTTGCGTTGCGGAATCAAGGTCCGAAATACTTATGGAATATTTGTTAAAACGAAATGTCATCCTATACGCAGATTCCGAAATTATAAAAATATTTAATTTATAATAGCCTCTTCTTCGATTAAAAAAGACGGCAAAATTAATGAGAGATTAATTATTGCTGTAAATAACAAAAAATCTGTATAATAAAATATAGCTGACACAGTACTGTAGCTCTTGTTTGAATATTCTTATGTTTAAAATATTATGAGAATAATCCTCTGTAATTTGTTCATCGATTTCTAGTTGATCGTAACATTTTCCATCCTTCCGTTCACTGCATTAACTTCGCGTGCCACGTGCTGTAGCGTGAGCACGTGCGAAGGGCGCCGAGAGCGCAACGTCAATTCTATACTGTTCGTCAACACACTTGAGACTTGAGATATGCATAAACGTACGCTCTCGCAAAAACAACGTACAATGAAATGCAATAGAAAACTGATTTTAAACTGTCGAAACACGAAACATTAAGCAAGACTGCTCTTTGAAACGTATCACTGTAATGATCGTTAGCCATGGAAGTATATCATGGATCTAAATGGATATAAATTACTAAACAAAAATGTCGACAAAATAAAAAATGTAGTCATTTTGTTATCCGGCAAGATCGATTATTCAAATAATCTTGTACTCTAAGTAGTTTGAATAATTATAAATGGTTTCCCCTGTTGTATTAAAAATATACGCAATATATAACAGATATAAAGATAAGAGCATTGTAGAAATAAAGTTATTTATTAATGCTCTCAGCTAAAACTGATCAGATAACCTTTAAATCACTAAGAAATCTTCGAAATATTAGATATCTAAATTTATAGCGATAATCCGTGACAACCTGTACCGTTTTAATTTTTTTTCTAAGTTAGATTCTAGAAAGTTTTGAAGCGAGGGGATAATCACTCAGAAATTACATGTACGTCTAGACTTCTGACTTCAAGATTTTACCGAATTTCACCGGAATTCATCGGATTTCGTCAGACTTTGCCGGATTTCAACGGAATTCTGACGGGTTGTACACCGGAATTTAAGAGTGGTTACCTCCTCGATTTGAAGATTAATATAAGTATACCGCTTAATTTAATATCTATATGTAGATATATATTTATATATATTATATGTATATTATATGTAGATATATATTTATATATATTATATATGTTTCAAATTTGTCGATTATACAGTAGGAGATACGATACATCCAGATTCTGTGGCATCGTGAAAATGAGTGAAATGGCTCGCTTGCTATTCAACTTTCGACTGATTCGCTATTAAATTTCAATCTCAACAAATGACGTAATGGGTATTATACGTGTAGAAAGTGCATTTGGTTAAACGTTGCAAGCACGTAGCAACGGAACATTAGGCAAAACTTTCGATTACGACATGCTATCCATTTCGATGTAACTTTGCATGTCTGCACGATGTTTCGTGTAATCACGCACAGCGTTTAGATGTTCAAATATAGGCAAATGTATTTTTAGATATCTAAACATGCGATATTTTCTGGTAGTCAAGTCGACAAGTAAATACGTGAATTTAATATCTCTTTTTTTATATTAGACAAGCAATTAAAAATAAAATTTCACTCTTTAATTTCGAAAATTATAACACTCATTATCAAAGCGTGACAACGAATTAAATCCGGTTTCTCTAACACATCAAATAAAGATAACGAAAAATGCGAAAATCGAGGCGGAGTATCCTTGTGCGTCATCAGCTATTCTCAGAAATCGCATTCGGTCCGCTTTCACTGAACGCGCCCGGCTTTCGTGGTTACATCTACATCACGCCGTGTTTCAGACACTTAAGCCCCGGCAACATCACGCTAATTAGGTCCCACGAGATCGCGCGGGGACGAAGAGATCCGATCGAAGTAGCGGAGCAAGCGAGCGAAACAGGAAACGAGTTACGCGGAGCGTTATCTTGCAATCGCGTCAGATTTTATCGAAGTACCACCACTCGTTAACGACACGCGCAATTGGCCGATACACGAAGGAGAATATGCCGAGGTAGAAAATAGAATAAGAAGAGGAAAGCGTTTAGAAAATTGGGAAGCGAGAGAAAGAGAGAGAGAGAGAAAGAGAAAGGGATAAAGACGAAGCAGGAAACCTTGTAAAAGCCGTGGTAGCAAGAAAAGATGTAAGCTGCAGCAAAAAAGAAGACCAAAATGACGAACGGAGTGGACAAAGAAGAAGAAAGAGGAGGAAGGGGGGGATTGCTAGGGTCGCAGGAACACGAGGAGAAGGCGGGAGAAGTTCGAAACGAGCGTGCGTAATTATTCGGTGCGAACGACGTTTAAGTATCCAAGCTCCGACCACGAAATAAGCGAAGTGGCCGACCGGGCACAGGATGTAGAGGAAAAACAAGCGCGGACGAAGGGCGAAAATAAAAGGATACGAGGCAAGGGCAGAAGGAAGAGTAGCAGGAGGAGGTGAAAGAGGGTCATATAGGATATAATTCAGCCAGTGGCTCGCCGAAATTAGTATCTCGATGTGGAACCGTGTGTCCTCGCGCGCGCGTTCGAGATACTTGTTTCGCGCGATGACTATCCGACACGGGAGGATGATTTTTACGAGCATCCCCGGGAAATTAAGACCACGCAGGTACACTTTCGGCCAATTTTCGTCGGTCGAGGATAAATTGCGCGGGTAGCGCGAACGAAGAGACTTCACCCACCCCGTCGTTGTGCAAGAGCTTAACATTTTGAATATCACGCGCATCGTTGACTTTTTGTTCCTTAACTCTTTGTAATAACTATCCGTACACCCAATAATTATGCGTAATCGAGACCTGAGTGAAATATTGCGGTGCACTTCACTGTCCGAGAAATTCGCGGACAGCGTAGCAATAATAAAATCGAAGCAAAAAGTAAAGATACTTGATTTTTTTTTTAATATTCATGGCTGCAATCCTTTTCTCTTTTTGTTACTAAAATTATGTACTTTATGATTCCGTAATTTTTGAACTCGCGATATCGATCACGTTCATAGCAAATAAAACGATATTAAAATTATTAATCCTTATTTAATTTGACGTTCTTCGTAAATATCTTGATATTAATAATATATCGCGCGACAGTAGAGTGAATCTAGCAATAAACGCAATGTTGTTATATTATTGTCATTATATTAAAAACGAATGAACGTTAGAAATCTTTTAGATAAGAATCTAAAAGTTAAAAAAATTAGCAATCTCAGAATCAATTTAAAAAATTAATGTCGTAGAACAAACGTTTCTCGGTCATAACAATTAGTAAAATAAAGCGCAAACGAATTATTATATTAAGATCCGATTCGCTCTTTGATCTCTGCATTCACTCGCGGAACACGCGTGCCATGCTACGGCGATCGAAGACAGAAAATCGGCGCCGGAGCAAGATTAATTAATCGCGTCTCGCTCTGTAACACGACCGGCTCTGTGTAACGGCCGATTTGTCATACCCCTTTGCATCGACGAGCTTTATCAAGCTCATCCGCGATTTCCCTCTCCCCCTGTGCATTAATACGCGTAAAACGATCGATCAATCGCGCCACCGATGACCGCGATACCATTCTACGGCGGTTGACCGTACCGGACGGCTACGGAATACACGCACGTACATACATACAGAGGCACACGGCACACGATTTAACATCGTGTAGCCAGTGGGATTGCAATCACGCGCCGGAGTTGCGCCGGACTTGTGCCCAGCACGCTCCTCGATCGGCCGAAGCGGGAGAACCAGAAGCGAGGAGGGACAGAGAGAAAAGAAACTACGAGGAAGAGGGGGGGGGGAGAGGGAGGACGCGGAATCACGATAAGAAGATCCAGCACGAGCATGGAAGCTGCGGCTGCGATGGAAGAAGCTGCACCTCACGGGCGAGACGAAGACGGGCTCCTCTATTTTGCCCTGAGGCAAGAAGGAGGAGGAGGAGGAGGACGTTGGTCGAGATCTAGTCCTTCCGTATGAGCGCTCGTGGAAATACGCGCCAATGAGCGACAGAGAGAGAAACCGAGAGGGCAGAACGGCGAGGAGAGAACGAGAGAGGAGCGAAAGATAGATGGATAGAGAGAGAGAGGGACAGAGAGGGAGAACGACGATTACGAGCCGCGCATACCGTGGCACGACCACTCGTCGACGATCAGCCGAGGTAGAGAGCATCGACTCCGCGCCGCGGCTAGGTGCAACAAGGACGCAGGAACGGTGACGATGGCTTGGTGTGGGCGCGTGTCTGGCAGCTGCCGCTTACAGGTGGTGTGCTTGCTTGGGAACCAACCTCTACGGACCGTTCCCACGGAAGGCCTGTCCCCCACTATGCGGCCCCGTACCCGTTCCCCTCGCCCCGTCCACACGGGGGCCCTTGCCTATATAAGTCGAAGCCTCGCCCGACCACGGCTACAATCACGCTCTGTTCGTGTTCACTCGAAGGTCGAGCTGGGGACCGACGTGTTGTCAAACACGCACGTTTCCTTCCGCCAACCGCAGTGACTCGCAATCGTAGCGACGATTAGAGTTCGACGAACCGGTGTGATAAGCACGAGGAGGTTCGCGTTCGCGATAAGCCAATATACAGTTATCAAGTGAAGTTTTGACTGTGTCGCAAGAACCCCGCCGCAAATAAAAAAGGATTAATCATGCAGATGCACGAGCAGATCATTATAGCCGATGGGCAGGAGCAGCCGATCTCCAGGACTTACCAGTATCGAAAGGTAGGTGTCATCTTGACACATCTTAAACAGACAGTCACTCTAATCGTCGCGTAAACTTCGAGTTACTTTGCAACTTTTATGCTATTTCCTTCAGCAGTAAATTCGAATTGATTTTTGTTGAAAGTTTTTTCCCTCGCATAAAACGATATCCTCGAAAAGTTTCTCTAAACGTCTATAAGCGCAACAGTCGATCTATAGCGATTCGTTCGTTTCGATTCGCAGGTGATGAAGCCGATGCTGGAGCGTAAACGCCGAGCGCGCATCAATCGCTGCTTGGACGAGTTGAAGGATCTGATGGTGACCGCGCTGGCCGGCGACGGCGAGAACGTGGCCAAGCTGGAGAAGGCGGACATTCTGGAATTGACGGTGCGTCACCTGCACAAGCTCCAACGTCAACAGCGTCTCTCGGCGAATCCGGTGATCGACGCTGACCGCTTCCGCGCCGGCTACACGCACTGCGCGAACGAGGTCAGCCGCTGCTTAGCCGCCACTCCCGGCGTCGACGTCGCCCTCGGTACCAAGCTGATGACGCATCTCGGACACAAGCTTAACTCCATGGACAAGACCGGCCCGTTGACCATCCACGTGACCGCGCCGCAGTCCTCGCCGTCGCCCACCAGCGAGCTCAGCGCTGACGAGTATCCGATGCCGCTGACGCCGGCGTCCAGCCAGCCATCCCCGGTGCGAACCGAAATCGACGCCGTCTCTCAGAGCCACCAGGGTCTTCTGCAGGTGGCCAAGCCGAACGAACCCATCTGGCGACCCTGGTAAACCTCCGCCTTGACACGGAGCAAATTCTCGCCGAAGTTTCCGAGTGGAATCGGCGAAAAAAAAGAGATCTCGAGAATCGAAAGGATTCACAAACTATCGACGCCGGTGTTGCAATTTCTCTGTGATCTGAAACGGAACGGACGTCGCGAGGAGGAAGAGCGAAGAGTCTACCCCAAGCGGCACAAAGATCACCTAGACTTAAGAGGAGTACCATTTGCTCAAAGGCACTCGAACCGACGCGGACGTACCCGAGGTGAGAACGTCATATCATCCATTGACGTTCTGCCACCAGCATCTTCGATAACGTTACGCAAGAGTCGGACAGCACTGGGATCTCGATATGTAGTTTTACTCGCGGCCGCGCGCGGCTGAAGCTTTAATTTACTCGACAGTTAGATGTTTTCTATTGTTTATTTCATACTTTTATCGAGGATGTTTTTTTCTTTTTTTATTTTCTCGGCGATGTAACGTTGTTGTATAAGTCTCTCCACCGGTCAAGAGCATCGGATGTGGGACAACGACAACGGATGACCTTACGAGGCGGCGATTTCGGTGATTGCGCGAAGCGCGCGTACGTTTCGCCTCGCGGGGCGCAAATATATGTATAAAAATGACCGAGCGGAGGATCTTGTGATAGAGAAACGTGTACCTGTGATATTTACTGTAGTAGGCGTAAAGAATGATAGTAGATTTTTAATAAACATGTTTCGTATCAGCAATACACATTCACGTGATTTTGTGCAACCCACCCGATTAATATAGATTAAAATTTAAATCTCTAGCAATAATACAGAACTGTCTTCTCTTCTTTTATAAACAGCGTATTTACTTTTTATTTTAATGCGCAACATGTATAATAAAAATTATATTCTCTATTTAAATTGAAATTCGCTTTAGATTATTGAAATTTGCGAAATACATTATACTTATCTTTTTAAAATACGAAGTTGTGAAGTTTCGAGATTTTACGCATATTTCATATTAGAAAAATGTATTTAGAAAAGGTTTTTTATATACGATCAATTCTCGATAGTCAATTAAATAGATCTTTAAACGTAACAAAAAAAACCGATAAAGTATGCCCGAAAAAGACTCAATTTAAATATATTTCACAAAATTGAACAATAAGATCAAATATTCAAAAATACACTCACCCTAATGTAGCACCCAGGAATTCCTGCAGCTCATTCCTTTCCTGCCAACCGCTTCTACCTGAGAACACATGACAAGAGTGTTATAGTCGCCGATGTAGAAGACATCGATCGGAAATGATAGAATGGTAGCTTTCTAGTTCAGTATTCCCCGTATAAATATTTGCGCGCCGCACGAAAGTCTCGCGACATTTAATCATTTGCCATCAGGTACAATCCGTGAAAATTATTCGAATAAAGTATTATTCTCTACGATATATTTTTCCGGTGCATTACGAATCGAAGTGAATGGCGAAGATACGACATTGCACGCCTACGCCGCACCTTCTCGATATCGCTTGGGGGGATTTGCATTTAATTATTAATTCCACGCTCACCTCGCTTCGGCGCGCCACGTGGCAACACTACGATATAAAAAGTATCCCGATGCGAAAGAGTTAATCAGACCAAATGTAGTCTATTGTTATGCGGCACGCTCCACTAGCTGCGTCTCGCGACAGTATAATCGTAATCAACCTTCAAAATTTGTATACAAAGGAAAGTTTATGCGAAATACCGTGAAAAGTTGAATTGTAAATTTGGGAGCGCCGACATGGCAAATGATCGCGCGACAATTAATTCGTAGGTGATGATTTCGTATAAATGATTTCACAAATATCGGAAATCATACAATATCTAACATACACAAATTCACATTGGATATAAAAATAGCAAAGTGATAAAATATATAACTGTCCGTACAAAAATAGTCAAGTATTACAATATAGCATTTAACGATTTGGAAACATAAGAAAGAAATTTCGTGCAATTTTCAAAACTTCACACAAAATTTCGAATTCGATACGTATAATAAACTTTACTTTAAACTTTTCACCCGTATGAAATGTAGGTACTATTCAAATCGGAGCGCAATCGCGACTCGGGGCCTGAAATCTGATCGTGGTATTCAAAACTTCCGTGCGATACGGCGATCAATCGCAATCCCAGCCGTATCAACGGAAGCTTCGAACTTGCGTGATTCGAGCTGATAACGTAACACGCAACATTGCACTCTCTCGTCTGACTCGAGCTTTCAGTACGTGTCTGCGTGCGTGTTACGGGAGGCACAGCACTTACGGGAGGCGCCGAGATTTTGAGCACTCTTTATTATCGATTGCCTTCGACGCGACTCGAGGGCAATTTTACCGTCGATATTTTATCGATTTCAACCCTCTGGCGCAACGACCTCCGAACGTTCGCGCCATTGCGCGCGCGCGCCAAAATTTGCGCGCGTACTCCAGAAGCAGGCCACGCCGGCCACGCGTGGGCAAAACAAACCGACCGAGCGCGAAGCGGGAATCGCCACGGCGATTCCGAACTGTACATGCAGGGCGATCGTGTGTAAGGTGCAGTGAAAACCGATCACATTAATCCCGCTCAGAATTCACGAAGGAATCGGAATCGTAACGACGGCTACGTCGCCGTCAAACTACGTGACGGGCGAGCGATATTCCGGTCGCGTCGCGACGGATTATCGCGTACGAGATTTAGGTTAGCGTCGGGATCGAATGCACGGCCCCGATACTCGATCGCCGCCATTAATTCGTGAATTCACGCGCGCCGCAACTCGCGCCGGAGCGTTTCGCGGGACGCGACGCGACGCTGCTTGGCGATCGTTATCGGTCGTCGCGAGGAAATGACAGTCAAGGTCCCAGCTGATCCCGACTCCCGAGGGACTTATCTTAACGGCCGCAGCGGCCGGGGCGCACACGCATCGGCCGACTCACGTGTCAGCGTTGAGTAAACAGCCTCGCATCGCGACGAAACTCACCGGTACGCTCGCGTCAGGACGTACCTCAGGCGTCCGTTGGGTCGTCGTCCCGGTCAATGGCACAGCGGACGCACAGGGAAAAGCGGGAAAAACACACGCGGCCCCCGTGAAATTATACTCACTTTCCCGATAACCGAACCGCCACTCAGCTGTAGCACGTGCTGTCACCACAGGTGCACGATCACGCTTCGCCGTCATCTTGCGGCACGTTCAAGTAACCGCAACGCGGCGCGACGTTGCTGGTAATGTCGATACCGTAGCGAACGACGACGGGAAAAGAGAGAAAGTTCTGCTTGAATGATAATTGACGGTGAAACGACTGAAGTGTTGGAATAATTGTGAGATAGGTATTTTGATATAATTGCAATTTCGAGGAATCAATTTGATAAATATATTCGCGCATTGTTATCGCAAACGTTATCTGCATCATTATCGCAAATAAACACATATCATTTCTGATAGAGAAAATAGAAAATATAAAGATGTAATATCTAATAAAATAATAAATTATCATCAACGTCACTATCATGTTTAAAAAGCACCAGTTATATACATATACATACATATATATCTATGGTTCTTTTATTAAGCCGCATTGATCGCTTTTATTTGGTTTCTATGTCAACCATTCGTGATGTGCGAAGTTAGTTGACGTAGTTCATGCATTGATCGTTGAACTGCAGTTTTTCGACAAGAATTCAAGCTATTCATATTGCAAAACTTTGCTCCGTACCAACTATTCTAATTTTTCCGTTCTAAAATGGTGGGAAAAAAGATACAGCAACCGGAAATGCGTACAATGTACCTCTTGAAACCCGGACAGACACTCGAGAATATCAAAGTGAGTGTTTTTATTTACTCTCAAACGTCGAGCTCATAAAGACCAAATTTCTCCTGCGTCTAGTATTACTGAAAACTTGACTGAAAATTTAATCATCCTTTTGCAGGCGTCTGAAAGAACTCGGGCGTTGATAGTGACGAAGGACACCTTTCAGCGTTTTGTGGATTATACTACGGAGGAGGATAGAATAGTGGCACAGCAAGAAAGGGAAGCTGCAAAAATAGCAGCGTTGAAAAAAGCGACTTATGAAAAAAGTGAAACATGGCACGTCACAATAAAAGTATGCTTGATTTATTCTCGATTTAATATAATTATAATTAAATACAAAGAGTATTTTTACTTTTAAATTTTGAAATATAAATTAATAAAAAATGCAGTGAAATAAAGTATATTTTAATTAAATCTTGCTATCAATATGTATCACAAGATTTCAAAGAAAGTAGAAATAAATTTCTAGACAGGTATTTGCAAAATTTTTTTCAAGATTTATTTTATATAGTAGCGATTATGTGATCACCCCATTAAAACGAAAGTGGTTTGATAAATAGAATATTAAAGCGAGACAGAGAGAAGAATTATTGTCAAAGAGGCAAAAGGCCGAGGAAGAGAGGAAAGTGTTCGTGAAGGAAATGACGGAGAAAAAGTTGGCGGAGCGTGCAGAGGTGGTGCAGCAAGCAAGGAGATTGCTCCAGCAAAAGAGGCCTTTGTGCCGACAGATTAATCGCGCTCTTCTCGTCTCCGAGGTACTTTCTCACGAAAGGAGTGTTCACGTAATTCCTAAGCGAGGCTCACCATTAATTAAACTCAAAATAGTCTATCCGATTTTTATTAGTGTCTTAGGGAACTTGACGACCAAGTGGCGTTTCAAAAGACCATTAGAGCGATGGATAAGGAGCAGGATATAAAATATGCTAGTATGATTATGACAGACGTTGTAAAAGACGAGGAACAGAAGAAGCAAGAAACGAAGAAACAAATGAAAAAAATAAGAGATTACAGAACAGCGTTGATAAAACAGTAAACATTAATTTTAATATGAATTTAATTTTTTACGTGAAAACATGAAAGTATAATTCAAAATCTTTTTAGAAATATTAATATTTTAGTAAAAATTTAGTAGAGATACTATAGTTAATACAACTTGAATAAATATATCGTTAATCTCAAAATGAGAAAAAATATTTAGTTTTAACATTATATTGCAACATATATTATCAGACTATTATAAATCATATAAATCAGGCTCGAAGAGAACGAACGGGATAGTAAGCTAAAAGTAATGGAGGAAATGGAAGCTGAAAAACAGGAGCAAAAAAATATGACCCGAGAGATACAACTCACAAAAGAGAAAGAGATGCAAGATGTAAGCACCGATATTTGCCGAAAATATTCTTTTACTGATCTGAAAGTTTTTAATGTATATTCCATTTATATAGTTATTGAACAAAAAGAAGAGATTCCAGCGATTTTTCGAGGAAGCGATAGAGGAGAAGAAGCGATTGGAATTGGAATTAAAGCACAACGACGAATTGGAGGATCGTGCGTTAGAAGTGTATCGGGAGGCTAAAGATCGGATACAGAAAATTCATAAATCATTAGCGCTGAAGGAGAAGGAAGAGAAAGCGCGTCAGACGCAGATTATAGGTCCGATAAAGAATCATAAATTTTGTGTGCAGAATTCAAACAAGTAAAACACCCAGCTATTAACGAATCCTGTTTCAGTGGGGCAACATGTTTCATCCGAGCAAGCTCGCGAGGCTAAAGAGCGAGAAATCTTGAAAAAAGCTGTCGAAGAGAAAGAAGTTGCCGAGGCGGAAAAGCGAAAAGCGCAAAAGGAACGAGAGGAGAAGATGCGCGCACTCATGGAGGAATATAAGCTTCATGACGCGGCTGTAAAGACCAAGCTGAGACAAGAGGAGAAGGAGCTGAAAGCTTGGGAGATGATGCAGAGATTTAAGAGAGATGAGTATGACAAACAGACCAACTTGGAAGAACGCAAACGGCAATGGCAAGAAAAACTGGAATATCGCAACGAATTGCAGAAAGATATTGTAAGAATAAATTTCTTTAATGAAAATTATAATAATCACGTGTAAACATTTTTTGAGAATAATAATTTTTTTAATAGTTAGTTCTTTTTACATGGATTCTACTTGCAGCAATCATTTTTGTGAGATATTATATGTTACTTAAAACATAATTTTCACGCGCACAAAGTATTTTATCTATTTAAAATAATCTATATTTTTCTTAGCCCTGCTTATATATGCGATATATATAAAATGTATTGGTAAAAATAGATAAATATTTAAAATTCGATATTAATCCTCAGGAGGAGAGACGAACCGAAAAAGAACGCGAAAAGGAAGTTCTCGAAGCCGAAGCGACTAAAGCCGCAGAGAGAGCCAATCAAAGAATTTTACTTTACAGCAACGAAGTTTTAGAAGAGTCGAAGGGAGCGAGACCGCTTTATCCGATCGTGAAAGCCATAGAGGTACATTTACTCACCTGTAGTTGTGAAAGTTTGAAATTAATAGAATCGCAGACAATTTTAAAGAATCCTCTCCGTAGGAGATTAAAAAGGAAATGGGGTTAACGCCGAACAAGAAAAAATTCGAAGTCAACCTCGAGTCAACCGTCGAGGCGGAGCGGCCGAAGAGAAAATACAGAGCCCGTCGCTGCACTTGCCCGAAACCTGTTCTGGTTGATCAAATGTATTATTTGCAGTAACTGCCGTTTACAATAAACAGCGTTAATCGCGAGTCGTCCGTCCGCAATTACCACGCATCCGTCCGATCATTATGCCATTTATTCGGGACGCGGGTCATTTTCACATCGCATCGTCGTACAAGTCTCGCGTGTTACGACTCACGCAAAAATCGGCAGAAACAAAGTTGTCCACGTCAAAACGAAATTTACCAGCAATTTACGTACAAAGAATTCGTCAAGTTGTGAAAGTTGGTGCACTCTCACGATTCGTTTACTGCGCAGTGGGCACTCGTTATACATCACGAACATTATACTCCTCTTTCTCGGGGCAATTAAATAAGTTATTTAATAAGGACAGGTTGTTTAAACAGATTTCTCGGGGGGTACTTCGTATCGCGTTTACATTCAATTAACAAAATGTATAAATTAATGTGAAGACATTACACATATGACATTATTCAGTAATATAGCGTGCGCTTATAATGCGAACTAATTTCTCATACGATTGTAAAATATGATTCCTGACATAAGCAATACACAATGTATCAAAACCATGTACCGAAAGAAATTAATCAAAATGGCAAGCAATTTGTTATCATAACTTTCAATATTTTTCTGTTTAAACATCATTCCGATATTTCCGCTGTCAATATTGAAAATCTATAGTTCACGTTGCGTATTATAGATTTTCAATATTGGCGTATTTCGGAATACATCCAAAGTAATAATAATAATAAATAACGCAAATAATAATTAACCAATAAAATGTAATTAAAAGAAAATAAATCGTATAAAAATCGATTTATATTATAAGTCGATATTTTATCGTCACACTGCAAAGCATCGCGTTTTAACGTGCAAAGGTTAAATAACAAAATTTGACACTTACACATTCTAATACACGTATATTTCGACTTGAAAGACTTTAAAAGTATTTTAGATTGTTTTGAGGGATAAAAACTATTTATTCATTCGACTTATTTGTAAGCATTTATTTCGTCAAGCTATTAAAGCTACAAGCTATTAAAAATGGCAAAAAGAAACGAAGAGCCGAAGGAAAAGAAGATGAAAACTATACCGCCAATGATAAATTTTTTGCTAGGTGGCCTTTCCGGGTAATTATTTACATCAGCGTTTTAAAATTAAAATGTTCTAGAATGTTTCAAATACTCATTTGCATCTCAGAATGGCGGGCACTTGTGTGGTTCACCCGATGGACGTGATCAAAAATAGAATGCAAGTGCTCAAAGGGCGTGCATCGATCTTGGAAATAATTGGCGCCGTATATAGCAAAGAAGGCATTTTTGCATTTTACAACGGCTTATCAGCCGGTCTCGTTAGACAAGCGACGTACACGACCGTGCGACTCGGGACTTATAATCAGCTGCAAGAATTTTGGAGGTAATTCGGTAGCACCAACTAATAAAATGAATTTTTAAAAAATTCAGAAGAGCGATCGAGAATATTTCCAAACAAGATGAAAATCTTAAAAAAGAAAGTCTGAACGGCATAAAATTAGGATGTCACTCGTCTTTATAACGACGCAGCGCGATTACATCGATTAAATAATTAACCGCTTGAAATAATTAAAGTCCACCATCTGGCTGCAATTTCTAAAAAAAAGGCTGATTGCATTTTAGAGAAAAATACACTGGCCGTCCCAGATTCGCGGTTCTGGCGTTTATGGCTGGGACCGCCGGTGCCGTGGGGGCTTTCGTTGGAACGCCCGCCGACGTTGCTCTCGTGAGAATGACAATAGATGGCAGATTACCAGTGGGTAATGATATATTTTTATACAAGATAATTAGTGCATTGATTTTCATCAGTGTTAAATGAAACGTCTCTTAGGATAAATCTAACTAATTTAGTTAATGTTCTCAATACTTAGAGCAGCGAAGAAATTACAAGAACGTATTCGACGCCTTCATCAGAATTGTCAGAGAAGAAGGAACATTCACTCTTTGGAGAGGAAGTGTAGCCACAGTAGGCAGGGCCATTATCGTTAACATTTCGCAACTGGCTACTTACAGTCAAGCAAAGCATTTGATTACATCACGAAGTATGCCTAAACAACAGTTTTCTAAATTTTAGATTCATTTCGATAATTCAATTTCTCAAATCAAATATATGTATTTTTTGTTAACACTAAAAATATGTAATACTATTTATAAAACTAGAATATTCTATAATATTTTTATCTACACCTCTGTGAATCTAGCATCCCTATTGCTAAAAAGAAGTTCAATTATGCCTGCATAATTAAGTGCTCATTTATTGCTAATTTATTGTTTTATTCGCGAATTTATTGCTGCTACCCATTCGCAGAAAATTAATATCAAAAGAGAGTGCTTCGCATTACTCTTATAGCACTCCCACTTTCGAAAAAACCCGTATAGAATACTGTAGAGAAAAAAATAAGTATATCAAAATTTTTTGCTATTTTTCTGCTCTAAAATACTGTTCAATATACGTTACTCTTTTGTGTGCGTTAGCATCACCATTGGATCGCGTTTATTAACTTAAACAAAGAGCGTTAGGTTCACAGAGTTATTTACAGCTTTTGGATTTTTTATTATCTATTTGAAAAATATTATTTTTATAGCGAATATTAAAGAAGGCGTAGCTTTGCACTTTTGTGCATCTATGATGTCGGGATTTATCACTGCCTTCAACTCCATGCCTTTTGACATTGCCAAGACCAGGTAATGTCAACGATTTGTAATACTTAAAATTTCTCGAATAAAAGTCCTTGAACAAATTTAGTAAGATTTCCACTGTCTTTTATCCGCAGAATACAAAATATGAAGACCACTGAGAAACTTCCCGGTATGATCTCAGTTATGATGTCAATAGCGAAAAATGAGGGAATAAAGTATCTTTGGAAAGGTTTCTGGCCAACTTATTGTAGGATCGGTCCACACACCGTACTGACCCTTGTTATCAACGAACAACTGATGCGCTTATACAGAAAATATTTCCAGTAATAATAAAAAAATTATTCAAATCCAAAATCTCGCATTTTTTAATATCATACACATTTCTTATAAAATTTTAAACCTCTCGATATTTTTTAAAAGAATATTCTCACTCTGATAGTTTGATTTAATTATACAGTTGCAACATCTCAATTTTAGATTTTATTCCAATTCGCAGCGCGCGCAATTAAAATAAACCAATTAATATTGACATATTAACACTGACATAGATAAACTTTATTACAATACCGGAAAAAATTTCGAGTACATTCGATGGAGTTGATCAACGCACACCATAGTAATTACGGTATTGGGCGCTGCTCTAGAATAATACGGAAGAAAACCACGCCATAGCGACATTATGCCTTCCGTTTTAGCGATATTAACGATCATAGCTGTAACACCAGGTGGTTTCATAGGCTGTCTCCAGTTTTGAATCCTACAAGAATGTTTAAAGACGTCAAGTTGAAGAATATTTAAAGACCTCAATCACTTCGTTTTTTATATCTGGCCGCTTTACCTAGTTTTAGCTACGTCCACCGGAATCGAAGCAAAACATGTAATTATGCTAGACATCATGGCAGCGGCAATTTGCAGTGGTATATCGTTTTGGACATACCCTGTGATTAAAAAAAAAATCTATTAAAATTATCGATTAAAATCGTAATTAAAATCATGTAAATTTAATTATTCATTTCACAATTTTTCTATTACACCTTTATTAACTATCGTATTTATATTCTCTTATTTTCTTTCATATCTATTATACATTTTTCTTTGTATAAAACTTGTGGAACGGATAGATTTAGTGCTGCAAATTTTAATAACCTGTGTCTCGCAGCAACATCTTCGCTCTCGTGTATGTACCTAATTGTGCTCCATTTACAATCGCTGCCCTACTCATCGTGGGCATCGCTCCTCTCCATAATCCAAAAAATCCATCGGCTTTCCATATATTAAAGATACCACTAACGGCATTCCTATAATTTCTTCGCTTTTCTAATAAATATTAATTCCCGTGTCAAGTACGTAACGCATTTACGTTTGTTCTTTCTTTAGCACATTCTAAATTATTCAAAGAAATAAATATAGGCCTAAAGAAATATAGGAATACCTGGTGGCAAATTCACGTCAGCCACCATACGAATCAATACCAGATCCGTGGGAGTACCAACGAAAGAGCCCATCACGCCAGCCATCATTCCGAGACTAATCATTGATACGTAATTTAAATAACCAAAATGTTGTCTGAAGAGAAAGAATTTAAATGACAAATTAAAAGTTGAACTTTATTAAAAGTTGTTTATGTTTCCTAATGTTTAATTTGATATTGAACGCCAAATTTGCATGGCATGCGGATATTCAAGACAATTCGACTCCGTAGATTACAATTAATTTTTAAACGCAATATGATTGACAATAAATGTAATAAATAACTGACATTACTCCCCGATATCCAGCAACGTGGTATAGATTCCAAGCCTGCTGGTGGTATATGTCAATTGACGAAGAAGAGCCGCGCTCAGTCCCGCGTAAAAACCGCAGATTCCGCTCGTGCCAAGCGTGCGGAGTGCTGCATCACGAAAAGTATCGCGCGACACTTGCATACGTATCTTAAGAACGTCCAGAGGATGCGTCGCGATTTGAGCTATTACTCTGGCGTTGGCGAAATAAAAAGTTTCAAGTCAAAAACAGTTTTTGGATATTTTCACGCCGAGTAAAAAACGTTTTTTTTTAAACGTAATAGACAACTGCGTGATATGAATCTTTTTTTTACCCCGACATGCCACCTATCACAAAATTGACGAATTTCGGCACCTTGGCATCTTGGATCGACGCCGACATTTGATGTATTCTCTTTCTCTCATACTAAACTCGATGTGTTACAACTTGTTACTTTTATCAATATTCTTTCAAAGTCTGAATAAAAATGAATGGCAAAATCCTTAACCTACTGTTTCATTTTCATATTTCTCCTGAATGTAGTAACATTATATCGTGTCTTAGACTCCAATAACATTATTGGAATGAAATATTTTGCTAAACATTCAGTAAATATTCTTTTATTTTTACAATACATAAAATATTTTCAAATTCATTAATAAATTTAAAATAAATAATTAATTACAATTATAGATATTTATGCTACTACATACAATTTCTCTTGCACATATTTTAATAAGAAACAGACAATTTTACTCACCGACCGGTGTTGCTCCCTCCACTCGAGAAATGCTCCAGTTTCGTCGAGAAAACGATGAATATATCCAGCACTAATAATTGAGCACTTTATTATGCACACTATTATACACACATAATTTATTTATAATACTTTGGAAGTTCGTGCACTTTCGAAGCGAAAATTGCGAATTTACGTCCCGAATTAATTTCACATCGCAAATGTACAACGCGATCTCAAACATTTTGATCTACAATATAGCCGCGCATATATTATAATTTTAATCAGATAATATTTATGCCAGTAGTAAATTTTCCATTAAATGTAATTGGCACGTCGAAAAATTTTAAAAATATAGAGGTTTTTTAAAAACCAAATTGCACGTAAAAATCTTAAAATCCATCACTGACTCTGTATCATCTCTTATTATTTTTCAATACTATATATGTTTATTTTTATATGATAAATATTTTTTCGGTAAAACATTTTTAAATATTTTAATTACATTATACTGTATATTTTTAATGATTTATTTATGTAATCATATATACACAAAATATCTTTTCTCAAAAATTTAAATTGAAATTAACGCACGTATGTATAGAAATTCATTAATTTAATTTGTCGGAACTATCGACATTTGCATTACCGACGTGACGATCGCACAGGAGTTTATTTGACGAAACTGTGGCGTCCATCCATGTTACCAACATAATATATATACCGTATGCACTGACGCTACAGTAGCGCGGAGTTTACTTGATGGAATTGTCACGTATTAGCGCTATCGACATGATATGATTACGTTCAGTGATGGATTTTTCGACAAAAGCAATATATGCCCGCTATATAATTACGATGATTCAAATGCTCGACGTGCCATTGAAGCACGCATCTAACGAAAAAAGTACGCCAAACGTTCTTCGATTCCCTTGAGAAAACGTAAGGGTCATTTTCGCGCGCCTAAGACATCGGAATTTGCACTCACCGGGACTGTACCGTTGCGAGACCGAACCTCGCTCGAAACCGGAGTCGATTCGAATCGGCCAAACAGCCGTCTGTTTGGCCACATCCGCGAAAACCGACGCGTTCCGGCGATCGCGCGTCACTCTAGCGCGGCACTCCCGGCAAGAACTCGCGATCGTCGTGCTCTTTTAACGGGCGAAATCCACGATTGATCGCGGAGCGGTCGCGCTTCCGAACCGAGACGCCGACGCCGCCGACGAGACTGCCATTTTTCGACGAAAGCGACGTATACACGCGATATAATTACGACGATTTGAATGCTCGACGTGCCACTGAAGCACGCATCTAACGAAAAGAGTACGCCAAACGGTCTTCGATTCCCTTGAGAAAACGTAAGGGTCATTTTCGCGCGCCTAAGACATCGGAATTTGCACTCACCGGGACTGTACCGTTGCGAGACCGAACCTCGCTCGAAACTGGAGTCGATTCGAATCGGCCAAACAGCCGTCTGTTGGCCACATCCGCGAGAACCGACGCGTTCCGGCGATCGCGCGTCACTCTGGCCGACACCCCCGGCAAGAATTCGCGTACGTCGTGCGCTTTTAATGGGCGAAATCCACGACTGATCGCGGAGCGGTCGCGCTTCCGAACCGAGACGCCGACGCCGCCGACGGGACTGCCATGGCGGCCGAGCGGCCGAGTTAACGAATCCACGCGCCGCGGCCGTGTGCAAAAATTTCCATCAGATACATCCGGATCCGCGGTACTTCCGAGGTCTCCTCGAATCGAGCGTTAGAAGGCCCTCGAAATGCCATACGTTTGCCGCCGATTCGCAGCACAGAGTGGCCCTTCGCGGAGTCGAAAACAGCTGCGAATTTACAACCGACCGGCTAATTGAACGGGAGACGTTCGCGCGTCTTTGTCAGCCGGTACGGCAGGCTCGTCCCGAACGAACGACGGTGGTGACCGACCGACTGTATCGGTACTGCAGCTGGTGCCAGTGTGGAACTTGTTCACTGGCCCATGCCACTCGTTATTATGTGCGAGTCGACTGATCAGTAATTTTATTGTAAGTGCGTTCTGTTTCGACGCGTGGGACGCGTCGTGCGAAGTGACAGGAGGCTGCGATCGTGAATCATCATCGAAGCAACGCGCCGACCGATCCGTTCTCGATGCGTCGAGCGACTCTGCGAGGTTATATCAGCTCGCCTATCCGTCGCGGCGTTTTTATACGCGTTTACGCGAGATAACGTATCGTTGACAAGAGCACAACATCGGGGCATGAGTGTGCACGAAACGAACGTTAGGAATATTCATAGTCGATTGCACGCGTCGATTCGTTCGCGCTAAATCGTCGTCAAGCTGGGCTGTCAATGTACCTTCGATTGTGCTGTTCTCACAAAAGAAAAAAAAAAAAAGAAAAGCAATTTGCGTATTTACATCGCCGCCGTCGGCGCAAAAAGTATTTTTAGTCCGAGATTACTTAATATAGCAGTTTTGTTACATATGCGCGTAATACGTAAATAAAAAAACTCGACTTACAACATGTTTACATGTAACATGAAAAATTCTATCAATGGATACTAAAGACCGGTCGCCTCATTCATTTTCAGAAGATTAACAGAGGCAATGGGTGCAACGCCGAGTCGCTATGAAGATCTCTCCAAGAATGTGCACCTGGGTAGATTCTGCGGGAAGCAAAGCATACCCGCGAATGACCCGTTCTGGAGTACGTTTCTGTCTTACAACGTACGACCACCCATTACGAGGAACGATCAGATAGAACTGGACTCCCGGTTAGATTCGTCGTGCCAACAATTGCTCGTTAATAATTTGGTCACTGGCAACTTTGGTACCCTGATACAAATAGCACTGATACGGATCAATGAGCTACTGGCGCCTGTACAAAATCAAAAGTGAGCATCCGTCGCATCATCGATACATTATAATTAGTTTGTAATATTAAATGAAATTCAAAACGTTTGTTTTATCGCTAAAGAAACGCTAATTTCCAGTATAATATCGGCATGGCAAACGTACAATGCATTGTTCGCTGTAAGGTGTATTTTGAAGTATCTCATTGAGATCGTTGGCGAAGAGCAGATGCTGAATCACATTGAAGCACCGCAATCGGCAAGTGAGGCACTTCCTACTTATAGATTGGCATATTTTATTGAGGCGCTGATAGAACTTATTACGGATGTACCTTTATGGTGAGTAAAGACAGTGCACGCTTAGCAGCGTACATTTCTAAAACTGCATCCTGTATGCATTATAAATGTATCTATATTTTTCCTCACAGTGAATTTACGTACGTCGTTCACTTGGAGGCGATTAATTGTTTGCTCGTGCTGCTCTCGGTGCAGTTATTTTCTCAAACCGCGGCCGAATACAGCTCGATATACAGGATAGCGATGCACGCGCATCTGAATCAGCATGCACCCGTTATGGTGTGCACACTGTTGCACAATTTTATCCAGCAGGAACACGCTCCGCCGGGATTACTGACGCAGCAGTCCGGTGGTAGTATTGTATTCAGTATTGCCGGTAAATATGACAATATCATCAACAAAACGCCGGCGATCCATTTTACAAAGCGTTAATATGAAGCATTGTTTCAGCCGGGTTGTGGAACGTAATAAGAATGGGCATAGGTAGTAGCTCGAAAAATATACAGGTTACGCATAACGGCACTGCTGAGGATGAGGAGAAAAAACGCGATACGGAAACTCCGCTCGCTAGTCAATCTCTATTACTTTTACTGGTTCTGACGAATCACTGTACCGCTACGCAGAATCCATATAGGAACGCGCTTTTCTCTTTTGTCGATATGCAAGGTGAGCATTGGCCTCCGGTCTAGTTTAATTACGAATAACCTGCTGTGGATTGTTAATATTGCGTATATCGAATTAAAAAAATATATTTTTTTTATTACAGAAGATGTTACTGTATCGCAGGGGAAAGCTGATACCTTCAAATTTAATTTAAATAAATTATATAATACCATTTGTAAGATACCAAATACCGACGAGGTCACGCTTCTACTCTACATGCTGTTACATAGAAACTCGAGTGTGAAACAGGACATAATGAGAAGGCCTGACATACAATTGTTGGCAAGTATTGCTCATATTTTTCTTTGACTCTAAAAGAAATGCAATTAATATTTAATAATCACATTTGAAACATTTCTATTTATAGGTAACACCGATACTACAAATATTATATCATGCACCGAACAATACATCCCACCATATTTATATGTCCCTCATTATTTTGCTAATTTTAAGCGAAGATGAAACGTTTAACAAACGAATACACGAAATTGTAAGAGTCATTATTTTATATAATTCTAAAATGATTAAAATAACAATTATAATAATTATGTTTTCTTTCTTTAAGATGCTTAAAGGTGTAACATGGTACACCGAGAGATCCATTAGCGAAATATCCTTAGGTGGTCTTTTAATCCTCGTTGTGATTCGCACGATACAATATAATATGTTTAAAATGAGAGTAAGTGATATTTTGTATATAAATTGATATATATTCGCACATTTACAAATCGCAATAATATTCTTTTTATCATTATTAGGACAAATATCTTCATACAAATTGTCTGGCTGCTTTAGCGAACATGTCTGCCCAATTCACATCCCTACACCCTTACGTTAGCCAGAGGCTGTTAAGTCTGTTTGAAACTCTTGCAAAAAAGCATGCGCGATTGGAAGCAAGAATTCTAGAGATGACACAGTCGACAACTCTTTCTCCCAAAAATAGCCTTGTTGATACGGCTATTAATACGACTATTAATGTAACAATTGATGCTGATACTGGAAAATGTAATGCTTCCGCTGTTAACACTGTTTCACACCAAGAATTGGTAAGACATTTAAGATATATAAAGGAATCGTTCTTGTTTAATATTTGTTGAATAAAATTTATTATTCTCTTCAGATTCAAGACTTGACTATACTTGAGGAGGTCTTACGGATGGTGCTAGAAATTATAAATAGTTGTTTAACCCATAGGATCGCGCACAATCCGAATTTAATTTACACTCTGCTATATAAAAAGGATGTCTTTCAACCGTTTAGAACACATTCTGCTTTTCAAGATATTGTACAAAATATTGATTCTGTAAGTTTTTCCACTTTTAAATTGTGAATAGTAACATTTTCATTACTTTAATATATATTATACTTTAAATCGATATTTAATAATCGAAATATTTTCAAATATTTTTAGGTAATTAACTTTTTCTCTTATAAACTGGAACAAAAAGATCAATCGCAATTAGGTGTTAGTCAAGTATTAGCCACTATACGGCAAGGAACTTCAGAATGGCCGAGAGACCGTTTAAGAGTACGTAAAAATTGTTACAGAATGTTACGATCTATTTACATTTAGTATACGAGAATTTTAATTACACATATGTACGATTATTTATAGAAATTCCCGGAGTTAAAGTTCAAGTATGTAGAAGAAGAACAACCGGAAGAATTCTTCATTCCTTATGTGTGGAGTGTTGTTTGCCAAGGAGCGTTGTTACATTGGAATGCGGAGAATATAAAATTATTTTCTCCCAATAATAGCGAAGCAACCATCATTGTTTGCTGATATTGAGATGAGGAGTGCATTCTGCTATGAATATTCAAAGCGATAACAGGTCGATATGTAAAACTATAAGTTTATAATAGAAAAATTGTCAAAACCAAAAGCATAAATATTTTTTTTTGAATGGATGAACATGGAAATTTTAAGAACCAAGAGAAAAATGGAAATGTATACAGCAAAGAGAGTATAATGTATGACGTCAACTATAACTATTATATGATAAAGTACACCTTTTGTAATAATAGGATACATCGTCTGGAACATTTCTTTTTGTCATGTCATTTCCTTGTGCAATCATTTTAATATTTATTATGAAATCGAACGGAATTGAAAATTTAACTTAAATATCACTTTTTCATTTTCATGTTACACTTTATGAGATAAAAGACTCACGATAAGTGTTTTATATCTTTGAAAATGAAATTTTGTAACTTCTGCAATTTTGTTACATATAAATGATGTAATAATATATACCAAAATGAATGCAGTTATTGCATTTCGATGGGACTGGTTAAAGTTATTGTATTATTTACGTTACGAATGCTGTTACTGGGGACAATGTAATTTTATGTTATTAAAGATATATATTAATATATGCATAAGAAATTACAAACTTCACAAATAATATAATTTATAAATGCCTGTAATTTCAAAACTAAATTTTCTTGTAATCTCATAAAAACTATACTGAGAAAATATATACTGATTCACAGTATTTTTTAGCGCAAAAACGTAAAATTAACGAGGCTTTAGTGAATTACATCTGGTAGCCTAATCAAAGTAGCCTGCAATTTTAGTTTCAATCGTGTATCATATTCAATCTGCAATATTGTAAATAATTATCGAGAGAAAATTCGGTTTCCATTCGTTTAATTTAAAACGTTGCAATATAATATTTGTATAGTTCTGTTATTCACGCTGTATATGTGCAAATAATTTTTATTTAATATACATATACATCAATAAAAACTTTGATACTTATAAACCTCGTTTCATTTCTTCAAACACTCGTTTAGCGTAAGATTCACGGAAATGGGACGTGGATTTCTAGGACAAACACGAAAGGACGATATCGAAGAGAATAGAAATAATCCAGTGTCCATTTTTAACCGGCAGGCCATTTAAAAATCGTTTATCGCACGCGCGAGCATCTATTTAAAAATCCACGAGAGGTATAATTTTAATTTTTTTTCCGAAGTCTTCGACAAACCGGTTGGAAATTTGTCAACAATTGTGACCTGCCGGCTACGCAATGGTCAGTTCGAACATGTCGAATGTACATCTTTATTAAACAAATACAGTTGACGTCTTAATGTTATTTATAATGTCGTTATAGATAGGTATTTCATTTTTCCTAGCCTGTGCAGCGTGTATATGCGGCCGCGCGTGATCTTGTGTCGTGTACTTGTGTGTGTATAATTAATATACTATTGCTAATATACTTCTCATTTTTTTTTGTTCTTGAACGATCTTTCAGTTTGCAGAGTTAACAAGATAATTTGACGTTTCTGTGCGTCGCGGTGCAGACGCGCCGAGTAACTCAGTGTGTCACGTTTAAAATTAAAGACTCATTTAAAGTCATAAACATTGCCTTAGCCATACGTCACGTTACGGCTCGAAACGTGTGTGTGTGCTTAGCAGTACAGATAGTATTTTTTTTCCTTTTAATTATTTATTCATAATAATTAAATTCCTTAACTGTAATATACTATACCGTTACTTAATCTTATTAGTTAACACACAATCAATCTGCGATGGGAGGGAATTTAGTCGGCACGTAACGACATTCCGCGTTACGGCCTAGGTAATCAGTAGTTGATTATTTTCACTCATTACACCGTCATCGCGCAATTTACTTTTTATTGTGAACATCCGATCGTATCGTTACTACGCGCTACTTCTTCACGTATTTTTCTTTTTTTTTTTTTTTCAAGAGAGTGTCGCATATAACGAGAAATAACAACGAGATCCTGGAGTGACGTCGCTCGCATTTTACGAGAAATATGTAATTCATTATACACGCTCTACATACTTTTTATAGCTTGGATGCACGTTTTAGTTTATTCGATTTCAATATTCCCCGGGATATGGTATACGGAAAAATGAATCCCTCGAAATATACACAGCAATCCTCATTAATGAACCTCCTACTCTCGATTTGGATTCGTTCTACTGAAAACTACGCGCAAAGTACACGAACGAAAAGTTCGATCAAATTACGTTCGCGTGGGAAAAAATTTTGCCGCATTGCCGAGTTCTTGCGGACTTGGATCGCCGCAAGACTAACGTCTGTCTCTTTTATATTTTCTCATTCGGCGCTACGGAAGGAAACGGCAAGCTGGAAACGGATGAATGGCACGAGCGTTCGCTCCGCGAAGCGTTATAATTTCTCGATTTACACGCGCGCGTGATCGCGCGTTTATACATGCACGTTTTTCACTGTCGTCGCATCGGGATAGGTGTGTGTATATATATATATGTGTGTATGTGGGATGTATGTATGTGTGTGTGTAAAAGTCGATACGCGTCGGTGGCGACGGGCGTGTAATATGCGCTGAAGAGAATGCCCCTCGCCTCGTCGTGATGGACGAGGGAGGGGAAGTCCTCCCCTCGGAAATTCGGAAGATAAGATTTGACGTGTTACAGCCTCCGACTTTTCCGAGCTCTCACGTTCTTCCCTTAAGATCCAAAATATTTCCTCTGGCCGTTTCAGGCAAACGGCACGTGTGTATGCGTGTATATAAGTGAGACGAAGACGGGGAGGGGGGAGGAGTATGTATATTTATATACGTAAACATACATACATACATACACGGGGGTATCTGTGCATATGTATACGTACACGCTCTAGCTGCCTACAAAATACAATGGTACATTACAAATTCATATTTTTTTTCCCTCTTTTCCTTTACTCTTCCCTCTTTTACCCCTTTACATCGTCATCATTTGCAAACAGCTTAGATATATTTTTTTTATGTATATATATATATATTATATAATAGTATCATCTAGTTGGTTTTGTTTCTCTGCGTTCCTTCATTTCCCGTTTAATTAAATGATTAAGTACATCTTTAGAGCGGATGCGCGCACCTGATTAGGTTCACGTGTGTTGCGAATCGTTTCTCGTTTCATTGATTTTCTGATTTCTCAGTCGAAGGAGACTTTTGGCCTCCCGATATCTCGCTCGGAATAACGAAAGAGTGTTGTTCGCAAAGCGCATGGGCGCCCCTTATTTCACCGCGCTCGGATCGTGGATCATCTTATCACTTTACATGTATTTTCCCTTGCGTAACATTAAATCACGTACACACAGAAGGCAGCTCGAGCTTTACGTAACTTAAGCCACGTGTTGCTTGTTGTCGATTTCCGACCCATTTATGTGTCGAGATTAAAGGTATTTTTTACATATAAGCAAATATTTTCTTTTTCGTCAGAAAGGAAGCGAAGCTCCGCGTGGCGAATCTTTCGAAGCGATAAGAATAGAAGGAGGAGGCGATGAGACCATAACGTGAGGAACTGTTTTCGCGTAAATAAGGGGATGCCCCATGCGTGTGTACGGTCGTCGGGCAAAATTACTTTCTGCGAGATACCCTTTTCCCACCGCATGATTCTCGCACGCGTTCCTCTAACTTCGTTACATCGACATCGCGTGATGTGACCTGATAGAAGAGCGCGCGTGTCGTTTTTTTTTTTATTTACGATGTCGCGTGTACGACGATCAAACGAAATAGGAATCCCAAATATATCTCCCGAAACTGTATAATTCACCGTGCACTTATGCTCGAGGATTAAGCATACAAACGCGTGTGTACACATTTACGTAAGCTAATTTAGACACACTCATAAAGGCCAGATCCTTTCTTGACTTCGATCCTTGCGAGGGCCTCCCACGGTTGGGAGACTCCGCCGCGAGTGCCTCGGCTGATTTTTGTTGATTACTTTCTCACCGTGTTGCTATACGATCTTTATAAAATACGAGATTACGTTACGATAAGATTCCCGTTGCAATGTAATGAAAGTCGCGTTAGGAGAAAAACACTAGGAAAGGAAAGACAGTACAAAAGCAAGCGTACACACCGGTATTTTACGTATATAAGTGTATAATATGCGATCTGTGGTGTTATCAGGAACAGATAAATGATCATGCACGTCTCTGTTTGCCTTTTTTTTTTCTTCTTTTTCTTTCCGGTAGACGTCGAACTCCGCTTTCTCGTTTAGAATCCGAATTCTCGATCGTATGTAGGTATATGCATTCGCGCGAGTCGGAGAGATGCGTAAGAGAGGACGCGTATTGATGACCCTCCTCGGGAACGGAGAGACGGGGAAAAAAACAGAAACCTATCCCCCGAGAAACGAGAAAGAAACCTTTACGAAGTCGCGACGTTTCGCGATCGCACGTTTGACGAAGCGAAGCTTCCCAAAAAACGTTTTTTTTTCCGACGAATTCCTTATAAAAATGATATGATATGCTCGTTGGAAAAATAAATTCATTATAGTTCCCTATATGAATATAGATATATCCGCGTACGCGAGTTCTTCGGTACTGATGGTGCCTCCGCATTCGAACGATTCGGTATAATTCTATAGATTTATGCCAACACAGAGACACACACACATACATGAGGATCCGTTCATTATTTCGCGGCGATAACGGATGCGCAGCCGTCGTGTCACCATTTCGACGAAAGAGAGAGAGAGAGAGAGAGAGAAAAAGAGAGAGAGAGTTTAATGTACCCTACGACGGGATCATTGCACGTGTGTGACGCATTTTCCGACACGGGACCATCGACAGGTATTGTGCGTCGAGGCTCGTGACAGCCCGCCGGACGACGGCGCGTCGCCCGGCGAACAAGCGCGTCCGATCCTTATAATTCCTAACAGCCGTAAACGTCTAAAATACAACCGGAACTTTTCGCTATAGCGCCGTTTCGGGCAGCAATAAAAGAGCTAAAACCGCGTCGAGACGCGGCGAGTTTACCGTGCGCTCAGAAGCGCTATGGAATCGCGAAAAGTTCCTAATAACAATACAGGGCGAATCCGAATCGACGGCGACGGGATCCTGCGACGAAAAAAAAATAAAATAAAATAAAATAAAAAAAAAGGAGTATGCAGCTTGAGATTCGCTGTTAAAGTACACAATATACGAATTCAACGTACTATACTTGCTTAAAAGGCACGTAAAAGCATTAGTTTTCTCTCTGTGAAAAGAGCGATTGCACGATACGACACGTCTTGGGTCGGGGGAGATTAACGGGAGAAGCACGCTCGATGGCTCCTCCAGCCGCTGCGCATTACTTTAGAATAATCGTCTACTACTCGAGACGAGACTCTCGCCACGGAATAATGAATGGATGCTGATATATGTATATGTAGAGCACGTGAGTGACGCGCGCACATAAACCGCGTACCGGTTAACTGCCGTTAATTCGTCAAACGCTCATAGGAAAACTAAGACAACCGCGGACGAGAGGTGTGTATAATCCCACCTCCTAAGCCGATCCTTCACGCGTCAAGTAATTTTAATTAATTAGAAATGAATATTTATACCAGAGGAAATTACCTGACGCATGAAGCGTCTGCTCGCGTGCAGATTGTCCCCTTGGTTGAATATTTCATGTTCTCCACGGCATTCGCAGATCAACGACCGGCGAAATCGTCGTTTTTAAACGCGCCGCTTCTACATGTGACACGCTTACGCATCACATACGGATGATGATGCTGTATACCGATTATCTTAAATGTTGAAGCACTAGCGTAAGATGCATGGCAATGTCCTTACTCATCTTGTGCAGACCGATCAGGAAGGAACATCGTGCAAAAAAAAAAAAAAAGAAAACGATCGAAGGCGTATTAACATCTTAAAAATAAAAGTTAAAAATTGGGCAAGCATCGTATGGCCCAGGCTCAGCCCGATTCACGTGCTACACCGAAGCGAATAGCTTTCAGCTTTTAAATCTTCGTATCTACCACGCGCGTTTCGCCGCCGGTTTATTAGTTAACGTCAGCTCGTGTCACGAGCGCGCTTTTGATCAAAATACGAAAGACACGATTATTGCGAGAGAATTACATTCATGAGATCAAATGGACCTTAGATAGGAAAGTTTAGTCGAGAAGACGAGGAAGAGTACAGAGCCGGCTCAGCAATGATTCGCATTTTAAAACTACGCTACCGGGCCGTCCTGCCTACAAGTACAATAATAGAAATAATAATAATAATTAAAATAACTTTCGATAAAGTGGTTGGATATAGTCGCAGCGATTAGTAATGATAAAACAGCAATAACCGTATGTAGAGTAAAAAGGAGGAAAGATAGTTAGGAGTATAAAAAAAAAAAAAAGAGTTCCCTTGTCCTACTACTACCAATGATGAGTCAAGAATATAAATTAATAACTGCCGTAAATATTCCCGTCGGGAATGTTCCCGGCGGGACTTTAAGTATCTCTTGCGTGTATCTCCGATTCTACCAAACATCAGCGACGTGTGTTCGTAGGTAGAAAGAGTTTTAACTATATTCGATAAAGCGTCCCGCACTCTTACAAGTTTTTTCCTGACGCTTAAGACGAGTACTAACTGAATGCCGTTTTATATCGTTACCTCATCGATTATATCGACGTCATCTACGAGAGAGAGTGAGGGGGCGGGGGGGAGGGAGGCGGGGAAGGGACGGATAATACGATAACGCTCTCGCGCAGTAAAGGGGGATAATAATCGTTTAGAGAATCGATCGAGCGGTGTATGTGTGTGTGTGTGTGGAGAGCGGCTTAGAACGTTAAATCTTATTACACTATATTCTGGAGATTCGAAAGCGTAATAAATATTCTAATCCCTTAAACGACGCGTCCATGATATCTGATGCGCAAGAAGAGAACTTCGAGAAATCGATCTTTCGCGGACGCAAGTCGCGTTCGACGAGAGATCCATATGCAATAATCCGAAACTCTTTCTCCCGCAGATTAAATTCGCGTAGCCGCCGATAGCTACGCGAGGAATCTTCGTCGCGAGATACTTCCGAGACGTGCTCGACGAGCGGGCGCGCACGGCGAGAAGAAACGATATACGATGGAGGAATTTTTTTTTTTAACGGAAAGTGGCACGCGGCCAGTACTCCTCTCAATGTCACGCGAAGAAAGGGAGGGGGGGATGTGTGAATGCTCAGTGTAAAGATAGTAGGGTGATTTAAACATCACGATGATCCCACTCCAGATCGTGCGGCGAATTGTGACGGCGGTGTCGGCCGTTGCTGAGATCGCAGTCGTTCTCGCAGTCGGAGCTGTCAAGGTCATCGTCCCGGAACGAGCCATCCTCGGAATCGGAGCTACCGGAGTCGTCCACGTCCTCGTCCCGCTGGCTCTGGTGATGCTGATCGTGTTCCGTCAACCTGTCCATCGGATTCACGGTGATGGCGAGAGCCGAGTCGTCCCAGGCCATCTCCGTCTCGGCGGCGAGCTCGTCGCCGGCGGATCGTCGTCGTTTGGCCGCCCCGCGGACTCGCGCAGCGCCCACCACCGCCATCAACAGTAGGAAACCGATGCAAGCGGCGGCGACGATGGTCACGGCATGGCTGCCGCTACTGCCGCCGATGGTTCTGCTGCCCTCACGAAGCGCGGCCGTGGCGTATTCGTCCGTTAGATCGGCATGATGCGGCGAGAGCTGTGCGTGACCCGGTGCCGGTTCGACGATTCTGGCGATAGGCGGTTCCCCGGGAGTCGTGTGCGGCAAAACGGTCGTCTTCTCCTTGGGATGAATCACAGCTAGCGTTTGCACGTACTCGTTGCTGGCGAAGCGACCGCTCAGCTCGGAACAGGTAAGCTTGAATACGCGATCGAGATAGTAAGCCGGCTTGCGGTTCGTGTACATGATGAGACGGATGAGTTGTTGATAATTGTAAGGTGAATCTGCGCCGGAGAGAACGACGCCGTCCCGATCGACACGAGCGGAGATGTCGTGGAATGCGAGCAGGGCGTCACCGGGTAATCCTAGACTCTCGTGATCGGGATTGAGACTCGGATAAACACTGACGGCGCAGGCGTCCAGTCGGGCGGCCGATCCGGCGGTGACGCGCGCGTCGGGGAACACACGTACTCCCAGCCGGAAATCAGCGTATTCTCGGGCCACGTAACCGGTGCCGTTAACGGTGATGCCTGGTCGAGGAGGCGGTAGCACGGTGACGTAGGACTGCACAGTCGGTACCGGTAGGGGCGTGTTCTCGCTACCCTCACAGACGATCGTCGTGTCGAGGCGGAAGTTACGGCGGCCGGGCGTTGGGAAGCGTCGGGTGTTGGAGTAGCCGATGCGGCGCAGCAAGGTCTCCACGTTCGTGCGGTTGTCGCCGTCGATTCGCACCTCGGTCATATCGGAATTGGTCAGCAGCTGAGTGCCCGGTTGCAACAAGTCCATCGGTGGCACATGAATGCCCTCCTGGCAGCGCCGCAAGCACGAGAGTACTTCCGGTTTCTCGTTTCGGCCGACTAGAACGGACAGGCCGGCAAGGTAGCCACGGAAATGGTGTTTGGTCTTATTCTCGGAGCCCTGCCAGCACGCCCCGACAACAAGGGTGGTGTTGACACCCTTTGCCGGATGCAAAGGCCAATCGTCGATAACTTCGGGGTTCTTCTCGTCAGCGTGCCACTCCTCGCCGTCTACGTACAGGTTGACACGCGGGAAGTCTACCTGGATCGCATAATGATGCCACTTATCGTCGCACACCTGGCCGAGTTTCCAACGCCATTCGGCGGCACGGAAGATGTTGGGATCGCCCTCGGAGAAGTCGCGTCGCAGCAGCAAAATCAATCTGCAGTTCCTTACGAACAGGGCGTAATGGTGCCTATTCATCTCTGTAATTGAAACGGCGCGGCGTTAGTTGCACCTTTCGTGACGCCGCCGCGCGTAATAAAGTGTAGAAACGCGCGACGGCATTAAGGAGAGGGAGAGACGAGAGATTTAACGCGAAAGGGTAGAGCCCGGAGGAAAAGGACGAGGGAGAGAGAACGTTTATAACCGAGGATTACACGTCGCCCGTGGAGACCGGCCGGTATTTAGAAAGATTTGTATTTCAGACCTGGGTAGATAGGTAGGATATTTGAGTTGAACTCTTCGTGAGGGCGAGCGCGAGCGTGTACGAGCGAGCGACGACCTATATATATAAGCGCGCTCGACCTGATTTCTTGCCAAAATTCATTCCGCGCAAGGATTAAGCCGCTTTGTTCGAAACTTCACGATAATACCCCGGCGTTTCCGCGGAGTGAACGTGTATATTTTAACGCTTGAGCGCGCGCACTCTCGACGGCGCGTAATGTATTCTGCTAGCAACGGCGAGCATCGACGAGCATCGCCCGACATTGGAACAACCGGCTTATCAGCTGCTTAAAATGATTATTGTCTTTTCCAGTTATAAAGGGAAATGAAAATTATTAAGTTCATAGCCTATTTCCCTGTACTCCCGCTATAAAGCCAATCGGGATAATCACGAGCGTGATAAACGTGGAATATGACGCTACAGCGTTAATCTTTATGACTTTTTTTTCTCTGCGATTTTCAGTGGAAATTTAATATCACGGAAAGTCTTTGTACAATTATTTTCTCCGTCATCAACAAGTTTCTGTTGCTCCTACCGATGGACATCTTCTGTTTCTAAGCAGAAGATGCTTATCTCGATAAGAACAACAAAAACAAAATATTAAACGAATACAAAGCTTCTGGCAAAAATAACGTTAAAAAGTAATTGTAACTCAAAGAGATAAACCGTTTTTTAATATTAAAAACAACATGATGCCGTCCAAACAGTGAATTTTAACACTTATTTCATGAAAACTTACTGTGATCGTCGGCAGCGCACAAAATATGCTCTTTGACATGCGGATCCTGTCGCGGGCGTGGTCGGTGCTTGACCCAGACGCCGATGGTGAACTTCTGCGCCAGGCTGTGCTCCAGCACATCGTTCGGCACGATCGCGGCCGAGTCCACGCCGTCAAACTCGAAGATCTCGTCAGCCTCTCTACCCTCGTCTCTGGAAAGGGTAGCCGTCCAAGGGGTGGTGGGACCGGGTGTAGGTAGCAGGTCCACGCTGTCGCGCGAGGCACCGCACAGCTTCCGCTGGCTGCGAACTCCGTAGGTGTCGCGATCGCAACCCTTGCCGATGTGATCGGTGGCTAAAGTCAGGGTGGCGCGCACGTTGCGCAGGATGCAAGGTGCGTCGCAAAGGTCAAGCCGCGCCGAGGGCAGCAGAGGCTGCGAACCGACGCCGGCGGCGTAATCCACCCTCTCGGGGATGCCTCGCCATCCGGGAGCGCACACGCGATTCACCTTGACCGTCACCATCGCCGGCGCCGACTGCTTCATGCCGCAGTCGTAGGCGACCACGCTGAGTATGTAGTTGTGCGAGCGTTCGTAGTCCAGGGGCTCGGTATTGCGGATGGCGCCCTCGTTGTCGATGATGAACGGCTGGTCGGCGGTGAGGATCTCGTACTTGCAGACATCGCCGAATTTCGGCGTGCAGTCACGGTCGGACGCCTCGACGCGGACCACCTCCTCGTAGAGGCGACCCTCGTCCACGGTGCTAACGTAGGCCGGCTGGAGGAACTGCGGCGCGTACTCGTTGACGTCGACCACAGTAATATGAACCGTGGCGCTGAAATAAAGTTGAGGTGTGCACGTGCATGCTTCAAGGTCTCTCTATTCTCCTGCGGAGATAACGACGTGTCGCGCGGGAACGTGCGAATATGCGCGTCGCGTGGCGAAAAGCCTAGAACGCCTAGATCCTTCAAATTCCTACATACCTCTCCGTTTGCGCCACTGCGCTCGCTATTTATTTTAATATATTTTCCTCGCCAGTACTTCCTCGGAAATCTGTGCAATTTTTCGATATATAAGCTTCAGGTAGAATTAAAAAATCGGATCCACCGCGTAGATGCGCCGCGCCGTAAAGCGAAATGATAAAAATGTTTATTTCCAACTACCAGAAACATTATTTCCACTGTTCCCATGGATTGCAACCGAGAATTTCCATTATAATCTCCAGTGAATTTAAAAGAGCTTATTTTCCCCAGTCATAAAGGTTACTTTAATAACTTTCGCATCGAGATAATTAGCTATTTCACGCTGCTATAGATACGTTTACCTTCGTAATGGATTTAATTGTAATGGTTTTTCGAATTAGCGACAATTTATATATCGCAAAAACGACGCTGGTGTGTAGGAAACTACATCTATTTTAATACATATTTCCGCATTGCCGTGGAACAGTGGAATGCATTTTATTCCGCCTCCGTTGGGAAGGGATTTAAAAGAATTACAGTCAAGCAAATACTGTCGATATACTTAATGTAAAACATTTATGTGACAGTGTTCGCTTGGAGCAATATCGGAAATTTAATACGCGGCGTACAACGGAAAAGTCAATAATGCGGTACCGCAGAGACCGTACGTGCGAGAGAAAAGGATTGAATTTCGACTCGAAATTGTTTCGTTACCGAAAACACGCGTTCAAACAGCTACCCGTTCGAGTTACGCACTCGGAATCTATTTACGTTTCAAATTTTAGACACGACAAAATCAATGCCCCCGAAAATCCGCCAAACGTGTCGTGCAATAATAATAAATAATCGGGGCAATTCCGCTCGATACCCCCTCCTTCCCCCCCCTCCGCTCCCCTCCCCGGCCTGGCACGACTCTTCCATATTAATGTCATAATAACGTGTCCGATGCGTCGATATCCTAATTAGAAATTACGACGTGCACTATCGACGGTTGAGGCAAGCGATGTATCAATCGATCGATCATCATGTAATTCGTTCGGCCGTCACCAAAATAAAATTTCGTTGTAACAACACCGTACGGCCCGCTCTGTATGAAAAATTCACCGTGAAATCTTTTATATATAAAAGCGTCGTATGTTGTGCACGTTATATACGAAGAGATGTTTCACTATTGATCTGCTATTCGTTGGCGGCGATTCGGCGAGGTGAGACAGGACAGATTCCGAGACGGTTGGAAACAGAAACGAGCGTATTGCGCTATAGTTTTTCACGGTAAATTATACACTTGCGATCGCTTTCCTATATAGTTACCCTAATTTTGCCCGAATACATGCAAAGTTTACTGCGTTCGTTATATAATTGCTACCGACATTGTATTCTCGGCACGCGAAATTTAACATTTCATAAATTCACTGCTTTTATCACGGTTTAAATTTTAAATTCGCGTATACATACAAATTGTGTATACACGATTATAATTATGAATTTTGGCGCTTCTGTAACAAAAGTCAAAGTCGCCTGTGTTTCGACGTCCTGTATTCCCCGCTCTAGTATATCATAACTCCTGTCTTTCCCCCTCGGGTCTACAATACATTTTATTAGCTGTCGCGATCGCGAGCGTAAAAGTTTCATTCCGAGGGACGTGTAATATTTATCGAGGCGAAAGATCGGGAGCAAACGCGAACGGACGCGAGGGAATAGTCGGCAGTTACCGTTTCAGACGGGCGTGAAATCGCACAACCTCGTAATGAGAAAATTTGTGCACTCCGGATCCGGGAGTTATTTTCTCATTTAGCCGATACACGCTGTGTGACTATGGCATCGTGCGCGACGCGAGACAGAAAAAAAATTGGCATTGTGCTGGCGCGACGCGCGATTCGATGACCCATATTCGCGAGATGACTTATCACGGACTTCAACTACAGATAAATATGGGGTAAGATGATACATTTCCGATATGGCGTTATTAAGTATGCTTTTGCATTTTCAGACACCGGAGCGCGTAATGATATAATCTGCGACGATAATGTGAAAGGATGTATATAATTTACGTTGCTGGAGGGGTATAAAGTTTAAATTACGAACGTAACAGAACGTAAACATTACAATATAGAATATTTAGTTTCTTGAATGCAATAATTGTGTTTCGTATTTCTCTATTTTCTTTGCTACTTGATAAATGTAATAAACGTAATAAATTTCGCGCAAATGTATTTTGTTGTGTGCAACATAAATCACTATAAATTTTACTAATAAAAAGATCCTGCTTTTCTTTTATTAAATACACCCGGAATTTAGTATATATTATTAAAAATTTTAAACAGCTGAAGTATATTTTAATAACATCTACAAAATGTATATTATCTCGTAGCCTTTGTTATCTAAACGTTCTTTAACGGAAGTTTGCTTTCAGTTATCTAAGTATGCAGTCGAAAAAGATAACTACGACGCATGAAGAAAAGTCCGACGAGGTGGAAGTGTACATTTCTACTTACAATGTTATCTGAGCGCCGAGAGCATCATACGATAGCGAACTTTTTTTTTCAGCGTTAAAGCAGTCGCGTGTTGAAGCGCGGGCTGACTCCCGCAATTACAAACTTAGGTATAGTTCTTTCGTATCGTCCATTCCGTTCTACTTTCGTCAAGTTTACTTTATCTCGGGGGAGTTCCCTCGAATGAACGCGCGTTACGTACTCATGCCGCTATACATTTATAATAACAAAACGCGGATGAAAATTCACGCAATTGCTCGAGCAAAGGGCGCGAGGGTTATTTTGCCTGTAAACGTAGTGTAAAATGCAGACACAGAACATACTTTTCCGATTGCGCTCCGTTGCAGCCGACCGCGGCGATGTCGAACTTGTAGTTACGGCGTTTTTCGCAATTCAGGACCCGGAACGCCCGCAGCTCGGCCATCCCCTTCTCCTTCAGGACGATCTCGAACGGCGCCTCGCCGTGGTGCTTGTTCGCGATGCGGAAGGAGCAAACCTTCGTGCCTAGGGCGCGGATCTGCGGCGTGACCTCGACCAGAGTTTCGTTCTCCTTGACCAGGCCGTGATATCCGCTCTCGAGGCTCTCCAGATCCAGTCGTGGAGCTGCGAAAACACGTATATGCGACTGATCAGCAACCGCCGACGTAACACCTCATTTGGCGCGCGTATAGGCGAAAAAGGACCGTCGTCGCCCGCCGCCTCAGTTTCCGGTTTCGCTATTTCTAACGGAGTCGCCGGAGTAACCGAAGCTACTCGCGTTACTCGCCGGGAGCTTTCGGCTCGTTTTTCAAACCGTTCTTTTTTTTCCCCTCCCCGAGAAGATGGATAACCCGATTTCGCCAACTTTATCTCTCGAGACGGACGGCATCCGGAATGAATCTACGGTCCCTCGTTAAACATGGGGATTTGAGAAATCGGGCATTAAGGTCAGTCCGTGCACGAATTTGCATAATGGTATAAGCGTATCACCAATAAAACGTTTCGGCACATGCACCGCTGCATTGTTCCATGACGATTCTGTGTCGAGCATTTTATTAGACAGAGACGCTCTCGTCCTGTGTTTACGCCGTAATGCAAATTCGCGTGCTTCAATGATGTATGATTTTAAATTCACTGCCATTTTTAACGAAGCATTAAAAATTAATGGGCGAATTCGATGTTGGTTGGAAAAATTTGATTAACGTGTGTTTGAAAAAGGGGTTGGTAAAATCCACTTTTTTTCCCTCCTCCTTCTCATCCACCTCTTTCTCCGCTTTCTGCTCCCCTCCCATCGCATATAACAAGCAAACTTTTTAATTAAGCACTGAAAAATATTCGGTGCGGGTTACGCGGTTTTAGCATAGAGAGAAAGAGCGGAATTCAAAATTTGGTAGAAAAATGGGTTAAGTGAAACAAAAGAGGCAGCAGCTCGTTAACTTGTTGTCAACTCCTTCAACATACGAATAATGAGAAAAGCGTTAAACAACTGTAGCGCACGTAGCAAAGGAACGTTCGTTTACATCCGCAACGGTGGCTCATAATTATACTGTTAATTGCTAACACTGACATTTTGAGCCGGTAGTCAACTACTAATATCTCCTCACGTAAGCTTCTCGACACATCTCGTGTGACCCAGAATCACCAGATTACATTTGACGGACAGATTCCGCAAGCAGTTTGGAGTGGATTTTTCCTTGACGAAGATTTGAGAGAGTCGACGGTTTTTTTCCAGTTTAAGTGAGTTAAAATAAAGCAAAAAATTTTTAAAAACAATCGATGATACTTCGTCTCTAAATCCAGACGTTTATTTCCATCGTCTGTGATATTTTTATAGCGTTCTGAAGATATTTCTAACACGAGTTTTGAAAAAATAAAACCTTGTTAATATTTAATGGTAAAGTGAAACAATTTTGTTACTTTCTTTTATCGGGCAAAATCAATTCCAGCTTTATTTAAGAAGTTTATTTATTAAAATATACGTGCGCTTGAAGGGACTCGTTAAAAATATTCCGAAAACACTACCACGATAATTATATCGAAAATTTCAGTGTGAAAATTTAATTTTATGTAATTCGCTATGCTAAACTGGCAATTCATTTAACATCAGATTTCCATATTTTCGAGATTATAATTTCATGTGTGTGCATTTTAAGCCGAATAATTATTTATAAGCAGTATCTTTTCGCTCGCGCAATGGAAGTCAATTATGAAACGTATGCATAATGTGCTTTTCGATTATCTCGCAATTATCGTTAAGCGGCGTCGGGCGCGTCAAAGCTGACATTTTCCTTTATAAAAACACGCCTACGAAATAAAATCACGTATATACCGCGGGATCTTGCAATTACATTATATTTTGTTAATAATACGAGTTTGTAGAATCAATACACGAGAAATATGTGTGTCAAGGATAATAACATAAAACATCTATACACGCTTCGTGGTAAATAAAATCGACTGTTGCATAAATAAACAAATGGTTTTGCACAAAAAATCGTTGATAATGAAAATTTTCTTGATACTCATCGCAGAAATTGTAAGACACTTTCCTCGATAAAACGTGTCAGGTACGAGTATGAGAGATTGTCATAACGAATGAAAAATTGTACGGGAAAAGAGACTCGCGCTGCGCGCGGATGATATCGCTTAATTAACATCCGTGTCTCTCGCGCGCGCGGCAAATGCCTAAAGCTCGATTATCTCTCGTCGTTAAAATATTCGGCGCAATCGGCGGGACATCTAATTTCACCGTCCGACAATTATCGACTCGCGATCGGTTAATTAACTGTTCGTATATGCGAGATATATTTTGACGTATTATCGTGCCGGAGCATCGCGGGGACCGACGACGCTAGAACGCATTCAATTATCGCGACATGCAAACCCCGGCAATGTGGGCCACGATATCGGCGACCGTGGGGAAAGCTTCAAATCGCAGCGTCGCCGTCGCCGTCGCCGTCGCAGGCGGTCGTATCTCGTTCACGGGGGCGGCCCTTCTAATCTTAGCGGGGGCGGGTGATTAGGGATAATTAATGATCCACCTCCACGCGGGATGCATCCAAATATTTTTAACGCCGGGTAATACGATCCTTTTCTTTCTCCCTCTCTCTCTCTCTCTCTCTCTCTCTCTTTCCCCCTTTCCGCTCGGGCGTGAAACGCGCGACGAGAATATTAAATTCACGTCACTTTACTCTCGTCAGTCTTTGCTCAAAATCAGTCTAATTTTATCCCGGGGCTTCTCTCTCGAATGTGATTCACACCTAGTTTGTTATTCCGACAAGCATGACTAATACCGTCATTCGGTGAACGGTCGTCCCCGGTGATCACCGGAGGGATGGCGAGACCCCATTCGTGCGAAAAGTGCATTTAATTAAGCGGATGAGGTTGCGTAAGGTTTCCGAAATATCGGCGCGGCGCGATATTTAGCGCGCCAAGTAAATCGGCAAATAAATCAGATGAAACCGTTTTAAGGTAAAACGTTGTCGAACGATTTTACACGAACGTATAAAGAAAACGTAAATTGTGGCTGAAGAAACCGCGCGGAGTAGGTACAACGTGTTGTCGCGCGTACTATAATATAAAAAGCGAACGGATCGATGGTTATTATTCGTCCAGGGTATCATTATCGATTCGTCTATCGCCGCGTCGTTTATTGGCCATTCATATTTTTGTTTACATCAAGTTCAGGTCCAGAACTGCGTAAAAAGAGGAAACTGCAGTTGATCGCTCGCCGTCAGGTGCGACGCGAGAAGAGAGCCGTATTTAACGCAACAAAAAAAAAAAGAAAGAGAGACGCGGCGTCGTCACGCTCCTCTTTCAGCGGCAGGCGACCTCGTGTCGCACCGAGAGAGATGTATTTCGACAATTTTATTGCCGCGCCGCTTATATTATACGAACGCGTGAATTTCGATGAATTTTACCGGCGGGATTTTGCATAACACGGTTATTCTCGTCATTCCGTGAATTTGGGCGTGTTAACGCCGCGCAGCGCGCGGCTAAAATCCCGAATTTCTCTCACAGTGACTGTCGCTCGATTTTCGTAGAGAGAATCAACCGGTTGCGGTGCTCGCGTCAATTTATCGCGGACACGAAAAATCGAAACGAACGTCGCGCGTCGGCGGCGAATCGATTTCGACCGTGACGCGAAAGGTCTCGGAGGAGGACTGGGAGGACTTAACTTCGAACTTTATCAGAGTCTCCCGACACCTTTTTGTTACGTCACGCGGAAACCACGTAAGGTCCATCGAGAGATATCAACAATCGAGCGCCGTCGGCGGTCGGCCCGAGCGCGGTCGGTGGTCCCTTAACAGACTCCCCCGCATTTTTTCCCCCCCATTTCCCCCCTCGTGTGTCCATTTTCTCGCGTTCCGGAGGTGAGAGAGAAAAAAACCGCTCGCGACGGCGGAGGGTTAATAGCCGCCTTTCTTTCCTCGCCCGTTTCGCGCGGCGGTGGCGGCGGCGGTGACGGTGGCGGTGGCGGTGGCGGCGTCGGCGGTGATGACGGCGGCGTATCGACCGGGTGGGCGCAGTGCAACGTTCAACTCGTCGTGTTGTATAATACAACGAGAGACGGAGCACGGACACGCACACGGTCAATGGGATCGCCGTGTAACAGTCACGGCGGGCCGCAGGTGCTGTTATTGCCCCGTCGCACCTGCGGACCGGACCGCTGCGCCGCGTCGCGTCGCGCCGCGCTGCGCCGCACCATGCCGCGTCGCGACGCGACGCGGCGCGACGTCGTCGTCGGGAGCCCGTCAAGACTCGGGGGATCACGCGCGCGTATACACGCGCGATCGACGGCGATACTGCGCTCGCGGGGGGCCAGGTAGACGGTAGCGAATGTAGGGCACGGCGGCGGCCGCGGCGGCACGGTAGCGGCGAGACCAGACAGATGGGAGAAAGGGAGATTCAGTAAAAGAGCCGAGAATCACCTCCATGATCGAAGGAGCTCGATGGTGTCGACTCGAAGGCCGCGGCGATGCTCGCGTGGGTGAGCCCGACCCCGCAGCACAGGGCCAGCAGCCCGCAGAGCAGCGCGCTCGTCGTCGCCGTCGCCTGCGGCAGCATATTTCCTCCGCTCCTCCTCGTTCTCCTCGTTCTCGTTCCCCTCGTTCTCGTTCCCCTCGTCGCCGTCGCCGTCGTCGTCGTCGTCGTCGTCACGGGATCGTGCTGCTGCCTGGCCGCGCGCGGCGTGGCTTACGAGACACCTTTACTACGCGTCCTTATACGCGCCTCTCGCACTCTCGACTCTCTCTCGACGGTGTAAATCGTCTCACTCTCGCGCGCGCACTCGGAGTACACTTCGCTTTTTAAAGGAGCATCGCCGACTGACTGCACTGGGACGGACTCTGTCGCGCGCGCGCTCGCTCGCTCGCTCACTCGCACTCGCGCGACGGCACACCGCACACACAATCGCGGAGTCAATATTTGAGCGGAATATCGATTCGCTGGAGTCAGGAGAGAGAGAGAGAGACGCGCCAGTGCCGATTCTCGCCGCGCTGCCCCGGAGCGGCGCTGCCGTCGGGCCTCTCCGTCGACGGCGCGCGACACCTTAAACCTCGTTCACACGATTTTTCCAAATACGACGGAAGTCGATCCGCGCTCTGCGCAAGTTCCGAGACCCGTGCGGTGTCTATCCAGTCGTCTGAATTAATCATCTAATATTATCTTTAATGAGAAGTGTCGCGTGAAAATAGCATGGAGAACTGTGCGAACGATATAAAGAATTGTTAAGTTTTATTTACAAAACGCAGTCGTCAACTTTAGAGCGAGTTGCGCACTTCGCACACTCGCATTTCTCGCGTACGTAACGTGGTACAAAAAATTATTAGATAATGGGTTCATGCGCGTTTAATAAATCTTGATAAAAATTTAACATGTCCGTGTTTATATTATTAACAATTCATTGCGCAGATACAAGTACATATTACATTACAAAAGTACATATTACATTACAAAAATAACAAGGAAATAAAAATAAACAATTTATGTCAGCGTTATTTATATACAATATTATTTTTAGGAAAAGTCCTCTCAATAACTCCTTATCAAGTCCATGCATTGTTTAACATTTGAAAATCTCGTTAAAGCGAATTCTCTCGAACTCGAAATCGAATGCTTTCCATATATTATTCGTGCTAGAGCTTATTTTTAGTTTCCTCATTTCCATGCGCTATCTTCGAATACCCGGGCATTGGAAACACCACACGACTGTCTTCGCCGTTATCGGTGAAAATTACGTTAACATGCGTGTCAAGAAAATGCGTTCTATTTTTTATCGGCGATAATTTGTCAAACTCGTCCATGGTGATATCTGACTTGTCGATCAGCTGTTTTTCAAACAAGTCAACTTGCTCCGGGTACATCGTGTCTCCAGGCAAGACGTGCGATGCGCCATCCTTCATGAGTATATGCACCTACAAAGTATATTTATTGCGAGACACTGCATGTTTTTATTCGCAATTGTTCACAATCTGTGGAACGGGTTCAGCTTTACGTACCGGTAGATACAACTGCGCGCCTTCTTTATTGTACTTCACAGCGGTGTCCAGGAGATCGTCTATACTTTTGAGCTTGGTCAACTTGGCGATCTCGCACTGCTGCGGCGGTGGAAACGTGATACCCATCGTGGAAAGCTTCTCCGGGGTGTCCCACTAAACTCGCGTTTCCAACGGGATCAGTTCCAAGGAGGATATATGTTACACAATCGCGAATCTCTATCGTTTCAAAAACATCTCACTCACTTTCAGATCCTCCATCTCCGTGGCTTCGTACTCGGCGTGCGGCACATGCGGCATGCAAGCCAGGTAGAAGGCGGTGTTGAAGCGTTTCTCGTACGTGGTCATGACGGGTGTCAACCAGTTCCTCCATTCGTACAGCGCCCACAAGTCCGGATAGCACTCCAACTTCTGGCAGAGATTGAGGAATTCCGTCGCGTCGTTGTGGACCTTGCTCTGCCACGCTTGCCGCTCGCCCTCGGGAACTGAAAATTTTATCCAACATATATATTCAATAATTCTGTAAATCTAATCCGTACGATGCTACGCGTAATTTCTTACGTGATATATGCTCGGCCCAGCCGGGACGAGCCCGGCCGCCTTTGTCACGTCTGCATATCAGTATCCCGCACTCCTCGAAGGTCTCGCGAATCGCCGTGATGCGTAGCGAGACCTCCCTGAGCAGCTCGTTCTCCCCCGACCGGAAGATCTGCGGTCGCGACGCGGTCCTCGGCACTAGAGACGCGAGCCTGTCGTTGTCCAGGCCGAAGGCAGCGAAGTGCTCGCGCCACTTCAGATTCGCGTCAGCCTGGTCCACCGTGCCGCCCGGGAAGACGTACAATCCCGGCATGAAGCTCGACTTTTGATGACGCTTCAAGCACAGCAGCTTGTAGTTGTGCTGAAATCACGATTAGTTTGCCCTGTAGCCCCGTCTAAAGCCTGCAGCAAGAGCAGCTTCTCGGCAGGCATGTTGATAGAGACATCATCGATAGATATGAGACGAGTCACGTGTGCACGTCGCGCTTTGCCGATCGTAAATAAAAAAAGTATTCAATGTATGTAAAAGGTATACGTCATCAATCGGCATCCTTCTCGTTCTACGTCACAGCCGTGCCAATCGCCAGTAATGTTTAGTAACTCCGAAACGACTTCTTTATCACGTCTATCTACATCACGATTATACTTGTGTGCGCAAGACAGAGCGAGAAAGTGCCGATCGAGCTTCATCATGCGGCCAGATGCATGACATGACACGCACGTCATTTATACTTACGACTGCAGGCGACACCGCGCGACCGTACGTTTGCCCGTGGCGTGCTGCTAACATCAAACTCGCTGCGTCCTGCCAGGCCTTCATCTTCCACGATTTCTCCTACACGCGAGGTGGAGCGTGAATGGGGAAATCTCACTGGACGAAACGGAAATCTAGTACCGATGAAAATCCCGGGTTATCGGATCAAATCGTATCGTCACGACAGATTGCATCACTCCACGATAATGAATTCACTTTAATTGTGACGTTGTCGTTTCGGCAATTTCTTTCCCATTGATGCTTATATTACGCAACCATTATTATATGCCATATGTTATCACGAATTGCATTAACAACTGTCGCTCTAATTTGTTACTTATAAATTTATCAATTTTTATTACTAGGATATCAAAAATTGCAATTTCACTCATCATTTTGCTAATTGACATTTTCTAATTTTATTATTGTCTGTATCATACACTACGCCTCTGATTGCCTTATAACTGAATAATAATAATTATTATATAACAATAATAACAGCAACAATTATTGTACGTACAGTGCGTCAAGCAAACGGAGCACCACCACTGATCGATTACGAACGTGCGGGAAATCCTTTTATTTGCATTTCACAACGATAAGTACAATTCCAAGAGCCCGAAATGCACCGAGGGTCTCCGGGTCAAATTCCGACCGGTGCGGACGTGGCACGGTGAGCTGGGACGGTATTCGTAATCGACTTTTTATATTAATTCAAGACCGTCTTCAGTACCGTCTCATGATGTCGCAGGCCAATCGCAGAGCCGTATTTCGGCATCTTAAGACATCACTTAAAACGGTCTTGAAATAAGAACAGACTACGAACATCGGCCTCTTCTACGGCGACTACGTTTTCTTCCTCGCGCCGTCCGGCTTCCCCGTCGCCGCGATCATCAGCTCGTACAGCTGGCACACCTGCTCGTCCCGCAGCTTCTCGAGGTCCTCCTCCCTCATGTACCGTCCGAGCGGCTGTGCCGTGTGAGGGCCCCTCAGCCCGAGCTGCTCGGCGAGGGACACCGCGTAGTTCTGCGGGAAAAAGACAGCTCGCGATAGCACTCTCGCGTCGGGGCTCGCACGGGCGAACATAACCTCGCATAACCTCAAAACCTACACGGTCGGCGCGCGCGCGCGCGCGTATACTTACGGTCCACTCGCGGAGGAAGACGATCGCCTCGCTCTCCACGCATCCCTTATGCCTCCGGAACTCGTCGCGGACGTAACCGTCGCCCAGGGGCCGGACCTCGGCCGGTAAGCCGCGATGTAACCTCAAAATCGTCTTGTACAGCACCCGGACGCGCTGCACGTGCGTCCGGGAGGCCATGACCGTATACGCTGCCCTACACACGCGCTTGCGGACACGGCGCCGTTATATTTTCATCGATCCTGCTATTTATTCTATTGTCGGTCGTTCGGCTTAATCTCGCTATTATATCGCCGTTTCATTTCCCCTCTTCCCCTCCCCTCCCCACCCCCGTATTGATCTCCGTTGCGAATTCGGCGTGGATTTTTATGATAAAATTTTGGCATCTGATCGGCGAAAACAAATCTCTCGGCTTCGACTGCAGTCGATCAAATCAATCGTGAAATTATAAGCTGTAACTTGATATTTCCGCCGCAGACTTTGAATTCTTGTGTATTATTGACTATTGTACCTATAATATTTGTAACAATTTAAGCCACATGCAAGATTGAACTTATATATTATTATTGAGAGAGGAAATTCGAATATTCGTCGAATATTTTAATGACAGACAAAAGTCTGTGATGTATGTATATAAATATCTTCCTTTATTTTTCGTATTCTTTATTTTCGATTAGTAATTTAATTTATTTTTACAATAAAAAGAAATATATGACGCAAAATGCACACATACAGTGTTCTTACGTAAAAATATCTACAGGTCCTTATACATATAGATTTAAGTACTTATAAAATAAAAACATTACACGACGAAAATTCGACAATAATAATAGCACAATTGTTAAAGACTGTTTGTCTTAATTTATAAAATTTACAAAGCTTAATTTGAGCAACCAAGGTCCAATCTGAGATGATGCAAATTGTTTTCCACTCGATTAAAACATCGTTGACACTTAATTTGCGACACTTATTGTTATTATTGGTATTATTGCCTTGTTCGGATTAATTATCCTCGGGAGATCTGGCGTCTTGAATTTGCTGTAAATTATAAATAAATTGTTAAATTTTCGCTCGTTCTGCTCGTTGGGCTATTCGTATTGATTCAATACAATAGAACTTGTAAAACTTGTGTGAAAACGTAATTGAGAGATATAGAGACGTAAGATCAGAGACATTCACTTTGATGTGAACTCTAAATTTTTTTCCGTAAAAAAAGACGAATATTTCATTACGTGCGACTTTCGTAAATCGAATTTAAATCTTTGTAATGACTTCCAGCGTAAAATGCAACTTTCAGATGCGGCAAGATTCTTTGATACGCTGCATCTTCCGAAGAGGTAGATCGAAAATCGCACGGTGAGATAAAACTTTCAAGATATGCAAACAGTCTCTCACCCGGTTCCTTCTTTCCCCGTACTTGGACCAGAATGTGACCGTACACGTAGATTTTTGCCCGGTCTGCTTGTTGAAGACCGAGCACGACGAGAACGGCGGTGAGTACAGATGCAGGGAGACCGCGGGGTTAATTGCGCTTGGATTTTCGACACGGTGCAAACCCATTGAATCTTGAACGAAAAAATATCGAAGATTATATATAAAGATTAAAAATATATATAAATACAGAATTATATATAAATTATATATAATACTATTATATATAAATATAAATACTAAATATAAATACATATTAAATATAAATACTATTATATATAATACTATTATATATAAATTATATATACAGAATTATATATAAATTCGCGTGAATGATTTTATTTAGTAAATTAAAAACGCTCGAAATGTCGTTTCGAATAACGAAAAGAACAATCCGATTCGATAATAGACTCGAAAACGAATCATATGTACGAAACGTTCCAAAGTTTCAGTTTCAATGAAGCTAACTTATTCATCGCGTACGCGAGACTTATCGTCTACGGTTTACTTAAAAAAAAAAGTCATACCATTAATGTAACAGATCTCGTTCATATCGAGAGTATTTCTCTCGAGTTCCTTGAGCTCCTCCACACCATTTTCCGTCTTGGATCCCGCCGGCCACGCGTACCTCGTCTAAGAAGCAACACACTCTGATATCTCGGTTTTATATCACGACTACGTCCGACACGCAGTCTGAAATAATTTCCAATAATTATCCTCGTAATTTCCATACCTCGCAAAGTTTCCCCTGAAGAATTTTCATCACGCAGTGCGCGTTGGCATGATCGTGTATGGCTGACCCGTGACCTTCCCCCCAACACAACACCATGAGATTGAACCTGCCGTTCCCTTCGTCAACCAAGTTTCTCGTATATCTGCACACAAAGCATCGTGCGTTACAACATGATGTTTTTCCTTCGAAAATCCTGTCCGACCGGTCATTTTCTTATTCCGTCAACCTTTCGAAAATCTCGGTATCTTGGTACATTTCAAATGAATACACGTGTCAAACAATTATTATGCATGCAGATTTTATCAGATATTCACATATATATATATATATATATATACACATATATATACACGTACGATAACAAGTTTATAATTATCAATAATATTTTTACCGATTTAAATGTTATGAATTTAAGTCTGGATTTAGCATGAGAAAAATTATTACGAAATTAGCTTTTAAATCAGTATAGATATTAGTTGCAGCTTAAAACCGAAAACTAGTCCATAATTAATTGGTCACGTTGAATATTAATAAAGTCGCTCGCAATTGATTGATTTATTAATAACGTAAAACAGAAAACAGTTGCTTTAGACTAATTTTGTGAATTGTCATAAAAAATATATCTAGCTAAAATATTATTAAAACTTAATAATACTTAATAATACTTAAGTAAACTATGTTCATTGTTTTTTTTTATTATTTTAAAGTACAGATTACGTATTTAGACTGTAGTACGATTAAAATTTTCTAACCGGAGATGGAAAATTTATTTTCTCAAAAAGAGCAATAATAATTAATTTTGTTTAAATATAAATTGTTCCGCTTTGGTAAAACAACGTTATTAAAGAATTATCAACTTTTTGTAACATATATTTTGTTTAGCAATGGACTTATCGTCCCAGAAGGAAGAACATTATTCACGAGAGATATTAATATAAATAGAATGAACGATTTTCGAATCAGTAATCTGCGATTCGAGCAGCGAATGTAAGGTGCAGCAGAGCAAATATAATTTGAAAGTTTCGATGATTCGCATGGCATGCGTTTTGTTCGCATTTTTTTTTTTTTTCATGAGTGTCATACGATGTACAGACATATCAATGTTCTCTGGATTGCGCAGAACGCAAATACGGAGAAGGGAATGTATGCATGGAAAGTACATATGACCAACTGACTGTTCACCGGTCGATCGCCTCTGGATGTTTATATATCGCGTTACTCTAATTCCCGATATTAAATGTCTTTAATTAATACTCGCTTGCCGAAAATATTTTTGAATTAATTCACGGAAGAAAATTACATTATTTCTATTTAATATTAATATTTCATCAATAATTTAATCTTACTTAAAATAAAACCATCTGTCCAATTCATGCGAACGAATATTTAACACGCTCGCAAATACAGGTTTCCTTTGCAACGTATATATGAATAAAAGCATTGGGAAAAAAATCCGGAGCGCACTAAAATAATATTGTTACGCTCCGTGTTTGTCCTGAGAATATAAAAAAATTCTAGATTGTAAAAAATCGTGTTGTACTCTATCGTCTATTTTTCTCGTCTTTACAAAAACACGTTTCTTCTAATGCGTATATCACTAAATTCATAATTAATTTCGCCGGTACGATATTTGCTATACTTGCGACTGCGTCAACAATTTTTGTAATCCAGATTATTCATCCACCTACGGCGGATTTCTCCTGAAAGCGTCGAATAATATGATAACCGTTCAAGTACGATGCCGAAAGTGTTTATCTTTCTAGCGGCCTTTCATAAGAACGCTCTCGAGGTAGAAGGAATATTTGCCTGCCGCGCGGCATTACGTTCTACTTTGTGTTGACAGCAAAACCGGTAAACGTGCACTGTAGTTTCCGTACTTTCCCGAGTCACGTGGATCTCCGGCTACTGCACACAGTATAATTCCACCTGCGTCCAAGGCGCTCGTTATCTCCCGAACTCGTTAACTCATTTTCTTATTTACGATCACTTGCCTAATCAAGAGCCGTGCAACATCTTTGACCATTAACAGCGCGCTAAACTATCTGTCATATTTCCGACACATACATAACGTATGATAACATAACGTATATGTATAACGGAAGACAATTAAAAGAAACAAATAACAAAGCTAGGGAACTCTTGAGAAAAAAAATGTAAAAATTCTCGAGTTTCGTCAGCGGAAATGTTTCTCGCGCGCTTGAGACGTTTAAAAATTGCATGCAGTAACGATGTCTGTGCCAAGTAAAACGTTTATCTACGCTCTGAATATGAAAATACGAGTTGCATCGCCCAGCTTGTTGCAACATATTCGCGGAGATAACATTGTCGGGTGGTGCCTAATAATTCTAGAACATTCTCTTTCTCTCTCTCTCTTTCTGTCTCTCTTATCGGACGAATACAGAGATACGTCCAGATCGTGCGTAATAAATACGCTAATCCAGTTATCATAATTATATGTGTGTGACACGTACTCTAGTAAACAAAGCTGCGGGATATAAGGGAATTTTCTCTCTGATCCGAAATTTATCTCCGTGTACCCTTAACTTTACGATATAGCTAGTTTACGAGATTGTTAGTTAATTGCAAATAAATTTAATCTGACACGAAATGCCTCATTTGCCTTGGAAACTTTCCGTTTTCCGTTTCCTCAGATATTTTCTGATATTTTAGTCGTACTCAGCGTTTCTTTATAAACACGATATTTTTTTTTTTTTTCGAAGATTACACATATGTTATATCCCGTTACGTATTAAGTTCATCTATAATATTATTTGCGTACTAAGTTTATCTATTCTTTTAACTCTTACCATTCTTTTACTATTTATTATTTATGATAGTCATGAGATCGATAGAAATCAGGAAAAAGTAGTAACACAATTCTATACACACGTCTATATTACATACATATCTGACGTATTTTTTTTGTCTGACGATCATTAAATTGCAATCATCTGTTCCTACCACATAAATGAAAGTGGCGTTACGGGTTACTTCAAAACAGGGTTACTAAATTTTTTTCTTTTCACGTTTCTTACGCGGGAGCATTAGAGACAAAGATAACGAGCGGAGAACACGCGATAACCCATTCCGGGGTTACTCCGTCATGTTAATTTCATTTCACAATTCCGCATTGCGTTGTATACGTTCTATTTACATACCCCAAATATGTTGATCGGCGAAAATATTTGTTCTCGTCATTTGGTTATCAAGCGTACATCGTCCACTGACGCATTTCTCCGGAATGTCCCTAATTGACCGTTACCGTTATGCGCTGATTATGTTTGCAATAGTACCGTAATTACCGATGTGTAATTAGCTGATAGCTAATGAAAACATTTCCGTGTTCACGCCGCAATTGTCATCGCGTATTAACAAGTTGTGATTACATCAGATATAGGTATTCTGTGGAATCGTGCGTGGAATCAGGCGTGTGTAAATCTTACCAATTGTCCCATTTTGGAAGTAATACGATTTTATTCTTGGACATGCGAATAATGTAGCAGACGCGATCAAAGAATTTTTAATTTCTTCCGTTCCCGCGTTTTTAACTATCGAGATTTTTTACTACCTTGCCATGCACAATTATTTCAATATTAATATTTTATGCATATTTGAAGCAATCGTACACAAAATTAAGACAATATACAATCTTTCATAATAATTATATAACGTCTGTTGCATTTTAAATCTAAATGACAATTTTATTATTAACTGTCATTTATTAATTTTATAATAATTAATTAGTTTTATAATTTTGTGTTGTAATATTTAACTTTATTAAAAGTAAAATTAATTTTATTAAAAAATTTAAAAATTTAAAAAGGTATGTATGTTAAATATAGAGTAAGTTTTGTATACAAATAAATAAACGTCAGATACCTGTATCTGTCAAACTTGGCAAATTTCTTCCACTCCGCAGGATTGCTCTTGTAACTCATCATCAAGTCCTGAACGTGATCGATATTCACGTGATCCGTCTCGAAGGCCTCGTGCAGTGCATCTATAAGTTCCCGCAGGGTGGAAACTTTCTCCCGCCGGAGTTTCTCCCCGTTCTCAACGAGACGCGACGCTTTTCCGCGCGGCACATCGTACAGTCGGTCCTCCCGGTTGCAAATCTCCATTTTTCAGCCACCACGGTATCTCGACACTTCAGCGATTCTATTCAATCGGCAAAAGTTTCTCTCTCGGCTTTCCCGCAGACACGAGGAGGGACGTGGCGATCGCACCGCGGGGAGATACTTAAAGCACCGGAAAGTCGTGAAAAAACGTTAAAACGTGAGCCTTGCCTCGTCCCGCCTGACTCGTAGAATGCGGCGCGGCTTCGAGAGCAAAGGGAAGACAAGAGATTTATACGGACGTCTTTAGCCTCTACACGCCGAGCACTAACTGCGCGAACGTACTAATCCGTACTACCTCGCTGTCTTTGCTCGCCTACAGCTGGTACCGGTCTAGTACAACGCGGGTACAGCATCTTATATGCAGTATAAGGTGCCCCCCTCTTCCAGCCGATCGTCCGAATGGCGTCAACATTTTGTAAACTTCTCACTCTGTAGGCTTATACGTTTCGGCTTCGGTAATCGATGAAAAGATTAGAGTTAAATTTATTGTTATGGTTCTCCATTCTTGAAGAGGGAAACTCAGGTAACAGATCTATTGTCGTGTCTTCCCTATTCTTTTTTATTTCTTTATTCTGTCATAAGCTTTAGCTGCCAATAATGTGATATATATATATGTATCTTTTGTATTTTTGTATCTGTGGATTTTATATCCATTTTTCTATATCTATATTTTATATACTTTCTATACACCTTTTCCAACTTTAAAGTATATATTATTTTAAAGATACTATCTATGTCCTGTTGACATCTTTTATATAGTAAAAGAGCCACAGAACAACAGAAAGATTGATGTAAATTTTCCTGTTGTTTATAAAAAAGTATAAGCATATAATTGCATTAATAATTTTAAGTTAACGCAATTATTAATTATTTATAATTATAAAATATGTATACATATATCTTGAAAAGGAGAGAGAGGCGATAAAAAGAAGCATAATATATATAAGTATATATTTATCTGTTCCAAATACGTCATTGTTAGTCAGATTTCGGTATTCATCAATTGATATCGCGTCATGTGACAATTATTAAGATGGCGTAAATTTGTTTTCTTGAATTTCGAAATTATATGTATTCACGCTTTTCAACATTCAAAGCTTACGTACAAGATACATATAGCTGAGTTCTTATCTTATGACCCGAAGAAATATTACTAATTTTAGTCAGTAATCTGTATCATGCAAGAATATTACGAAATTTAGAGACCATGAAAACATCCTAACTATTTTGATGGCATTAATATGGATCACAAATAATATATGATTCTGATTGATTTATTTGTTAAAATATTGTATGTGCATATAATTGGGTTAAGCCATAAAAATAATTTTCGATTTGTGCTACAGATTACTTATCTTTGCCATTTAGAGAGCTCGAGAAAAAAACTTATATTTATTACGTACGTCGGAAATTTCGTATATTCAAAATTTGTTAATCATATATGAAACTGGCAAGGGATATTTTTAGGGAAAGTCGCGCAGCATTTGCGGACTGTTTTATTACAAAATCGAACGCGTAAGTAAATTATTTGTTTAACAACATGTTATTCACTTGATAAAATGTCATAAAAATCAAGTAAAAAATCGTCAATGAAAATATAAGTAAAAAAGATCAAATATCTGTAAAAAAATATAAGTAAAAAAATAAAATATCCTAAATAATCTGTTCATATTACTGGATAGTGTAAAAATGTTAATACTAAAATATTTTTATCAATATTTTGTGTTTGAAAAATATATATCTTGACATTTTTTACAAACATTGCCATTATATTTACTTGGCATTTGTTTGACAATTAATTGAGCAAGTATTTCTAATTAAATATCGTTTACCTTTCTGTGCTTGTTTCTCAGATTGGTAAAATTCTTTTTGCCTCTGCTTTCGTTCGATGAATCATCGCACCTGCACGGCTTCGGTTATTTTACAGTAATGCAGCTGCAGTAAAGAATGCAATAAAGAAGCAGTAAATGGAATTACGCTTACGGACCTCATTAGGCCTGATGAGACAAAGCGCACTATTAATAGCGCACATTCAATTATTTACAAAATCTCTATCCTTCAAACGGTACCGCTATACATATAAAACATTAGACATTGACGATATCATATGAGAAAGCATTTGCAATAAAAAATCCGATATGTAACGTGTTTTACATACGTGCAAGGCAGACTCTTGCAATAATAACATTTTGCCAGCGGTCTCTTGTAACTCGATCTGTCTTTCCTGCATCTGCACGGCGTTAATTTACAAACGCAGCCAATATGTCGGATCGACTTTTGAACAGTGCTTTTGCGCTCGTTCCTAGGATTCAAACTACACCGGCAATTATTCGGTGACTTGCTTCTAGATGATTTTTCTATTTCGGCGCGTCTAAGCAACGGAACAAAGATAATTCAGCACAAAGGTTTAACAGTACAGTTGGCTGCGAAGAAAAACTTTAAGCAGCAATTATTTACTACTTTTGTTGAGATCCATTAATAAAGAAAAACTTCTTTTTATCCCTTTGATACGCCCTTACGCAACTAAATAAGAAAGAAATCTTGTCAGGTAAAAGATTCTTTTATATACTTGACACGATTCTCGGCTTTCCTTTCTTCCTTTCTCTTATCTTGATCGACCGGCGATTCACAACGGCAGGGATTCCTCCAGCACCGTGCGCAGCATACAGACTCGCTCATCTTCTGCTGCAGTTCGTCCATCACTTCCGAGAAAATATTTAGCCGTTGATAAGGTAGCTCCTCGGGACGTTGTCGTCTCGGTTTTTCATAGCAGCAACATTCCTCGGTGGAATACGATTGGAAATCCTCAAAGTTTCTTGCGAAATACCGCCTGATTTCCCTCTTCGGCTTCCAGCTAGTGACGCGAATCGTCCGATTTTCATCCGGTCTTCTGACAATCCGTTCACAATCATAAGCGTGACCCTCATCGTCTTGACAGTTGCAAACATCTGACGGCAACCCGCAACACGAGCACTTTCCGATTGGTGCTCTGCATGTGCATTTGTCTCGAGGATTATCGCAATGCAGGCAAATCATTGTCCTCTTGTGGTCGCAGCCCTCCTTGATCTTGTGGCGCTTTACCAATGCGAATGTAGTGCAGCAACATTGATTTCTCGGTCTGCCGCAGTTAATGCAACTCGCTTGTGATCCACACCTATCGAGTGTTTCGAGAAATCGTGACTAAATTTATCAAATTACGCATATCGGAGCATTGCGTTCTTCTTTATCTCGAAATTATAATTAAAAAATATATTGAAATATCCAATTAATAAATATTAATAATTATTAAATATTTACTAATTTTTATTTAATAAATATATTTATCTAAAATCTCATATAATATTAAAGAATATCTTACTTGCGTTTATCAATAATTCTTAAACAATCGCCGCGCGTTGCGCAACATCTGCATCTGCATTCTTCGTGACAACAGACCGTAGTCTTTCTACACTTGCGTTCCTTCCGCGTTCTATAACAATTTGTACAGATATGCGAGCTGATCTTTAAAGGTGATACACCACGAAATTTCGGTTTATCGGTCTTTAAGCAACTCTTCAGATATGATTTGCAAGTGCATTGAATTGCCGACAAATGGCAACGCGCGCAGTAAAGTTTCTTTTGTTCAAATCTATCATCTTTGCAAGGGCAATCTTCAATGGTACTATTACATTTTGTGCATTTAACAATGGAACATGAGTAATTATTCAAAGTGGAAGATAATTCGCGTTTACAAAGGGTGAATTTTTGTGGTTTCTTTTCCGATTTCTTTTGCGGGCAGGACACATGGTCTTTCACGCATTTGACAATCGAGCACGAACGACCATTCGGCTCGAAAGGTAGACCGCATTGACAAAGAATTGGCTTTTGTATTTCTCCTTCGGGTTTCTTTTGTGGACAGACAACATAAGTTTTTATTGTTTCATCCAGAATATCTTGGGGAATTCTATCTTCATCAGCAACATCTTTTGGAGCGTCTTCAACACTCGTGTCAATTGCGGCAATACTTAATTCAGGCGCGATTGAATCATCTGTTTTTATTTCTGCCGTGACTTCTGCAGGCCTATGCTCCTGCAAAGTTACTTTTTCTTCTGGGATTTTCTCTTGGTCGGCATGAGCAGTTGTGATTATTTCAGAAACTGATACTACTCCAGACTCTTGAAATTCAGAATCTGCAGTTGTTACTACAGTTGGTAGAATATGCGATCTTTTTGCCACGATGATACGCAGTAATTTAGGTATTGATTGCTCCGTTTTGTGAATATCCATCTTCTTTTCTTTTTCAGGAATAATAAAATCTGTTATTAGTGAAATCAATTTTGATCTTGTAAAAATTTTCCTAATTATACCTATAGATGAAATTAATGCACAATACCGCATCAAATTGGTTAACAATAATTTTTTATCAAACATTAAATGTTATGTTTTATTATTATATAATATATTTTAATATAAAATTGTTAATACAAGATTACAAAAGATTTATGAAAATAATTCTAAAATTTTTAATTTTAAAATTGTAATTAAAGTGTGATTACAAGTAAGATGATTTAACATACCTTTGTCTGCAATCTCTATTTGCGGTGGTCTCATTGGTACAGTCACTTTTTTAATAATCTCTTGCTGGTCTTTTATATCATCTTTTATATCATTAGTTTTATCCTCGATTTCAGAATCAATTTCTGATTTTCCAATATCTTTTTTATCGTCAGCGATTGTTTTCTTCGCTTCCATTTTTCCTGCTTCTATTCTGTCTGTAATAAACGTTCTACCACGTTTAATTACATCGATCAATTTTTTAAACGGTCGCTGTAAAAGTGACTCTTTCTGTTTGTCCTCAGTCGTTTTCATTTCTTTTGAAATACCTTGTCTCTCTTCTTCTCCGTTCGAGTTTTCTCGCGTTTTTTCTTCCATTTGATTATTTTTATTTGGCGTTAAATTTTGTGAAAGATTATTCGATTCTTGAAAGTGATTCCCCATTGACCGATTAATCGATTGCGTTTTTCGCTGATTAGCAAGAGTTTTTGATGTTTTCTTTACAGTGAAATTCGAAGCAAGATTTAAGCTGTTATAAAGCTGCGCGCGCGGTAACGTGGAATAAACATTTTTTGACAATAGTTTAGAATCTTTGATCGATTCACTGGGAATACGATTAAGTAAATCTTTTGATTGCTTATTCGAGGTTTCCTCTATTTTTTTATCTTGCTTTACATTAGCAGCTTGTCTCGTAAAGCTATTGAGAGCAACGTTGTCATGCTTATTATTCAGTTTTACTATTCTTTTATTGCTAGCATTCCCTTCCGGACCACTTAAGTTCAAGTTATTTGTACTTTTCGCCACAAGTTTATCCGTTTCATCGTTTAGGGACACTCTGTTAACATCGTCATGGTTGGCAGAGTTTGAGTTGGGAATCTCCTTACAAATTGTTTCCTTCGGGGGAAGGTCTTTGGAGTCAGAAAGCGCCTTGTAAACTATTACTTCTTCCGGAAGTCCATTCGGTTCACCAAACACCGTCTTACAAACTGTGATATCTTCCGGGGGCTCTTCGGTAACGAATTCCTTACAAACTCTTGTTACTTTCGGAAGTTCTTCCGAATTTTCAAACCCTGTTCCGTACGTACTAGTACCTATCGAACATTCCGCCGAATCTTTACACGCTCGTGTTTCTTCAATACTTTTTTCAGGAGCGCCAAACGACGTCTCGCGTACACTTCCGAATTCTTTAGAAGATGTTCGGCAAACGGATATTTTTTCTGGACAATCTGTGACATTACATATATTTTCGGGGAGCTCTTTCTTGTCTCTGACGACGTCTCTGCAGTAACCTTCCTCTTCCTCCGCGATACAACTACACGTGGACCATTGTCGAGCCACTTGCTCCCTTTGACAACTCCCGAGAGGTTGTTGCAAAAGTTTATATCCTATCTGCCTCCTGCGGATGTCGTTGCGATTTATTATCGAATCCCGAAGTATTTTACTTCGATATTTACAACTGTCCGCGAAACACTCTTCGGGGTTCTCATCGTACGTGGCGCAATCCGTGTAGATCGATTTCGGTAACCACCTGCTATTATCAACCGCATGACATATGGTGTCTTCGCTATCGTCTCCGCGAACATTATCGCGATCGTTATTTTTGCGATAATTCCTTCGTTCCACGTTGGTACAAATCGCTCTTGACAGGAAGACGTGACTGTCGTCCAGTCTGGCTCTCGCTTTCGAGGGATATACGGCGATCCAAGACTGTGGGCGTCTGGTATTGTCACACGCGCTGAAACTCGGACACGGAACCGTAGAGCACGACGAGTCCTGTTGGAGATCTATGCTGTCCGTATCTTTGCAGTAGCAGCCGTCTTTGGCCGACGAGCTCGCGTCCTTGCATCGGACGTTCTCGTCATTGACTTTGACATCTGCTTCCACCTTGCTATCTGTTTCGCTCAATTCCTTCCTGTGCCGTAATGTTCCGTTATCGCGGATGATATTAACGTCGCTGCTCTTCTCATGAATAAAACTAGGCAATCGCTGCGCCAGCAATTTCTGCCGTTTCTCTTTTATGCTGTTCATCAGCTTGCATGATGACGTGCTGCTAGCGCTGGCGCTTCTCGAATTGTATTGTTCGGTAATTGTATTAGAGCTTGTATCCGTGCACAATTGAGGTCTCACCTTTTTTCTGCCCTTTTCGTACATATACATGACTAAGTTACAATTTATTGTAGACAGTTTAATAATTATTTTTATATAATTTATAATATATCAGTAAAACAACTATAATATAATAATGGTGTAAGCATAATTACAATATTATAATTACAACATAATAATTATCTTTAGCTTTTACTTCTTTCATGATACCATTATCGTATCAGTTTTTTAAAAACTTTTAAATTCTTTATAATTGAATATTAATAATAATATATTAATAATGATTAACTTAATAAATATATTTTTAGATAAAATATTAATTTATTTAATGTATTTTTGTAATTTGAATATATTTTATACTTTTACGCATTATATTTGGCGAAAAGGATTATTTGAAATAAACCTACCTGATCGTTGTCATTAGCCTCCGAGCAAATATAGATATTGACATTTCCGGTCATTCTGCGATTATCGGTGTTCGCGTTATTCGCCGATTTCGAATGCTTTTTATTCTTTTTTTCATTGTTAACTTTATTCTGGATTGATAACGGTATTGTGTTCTCGTGCATTTTTGTGTACAGGTACGAATTGTTATGTGTGGATAAATTATTATGTTGCCGTGAAATGTGGCACGGAGTTTGTCGATTTGTGCAAACGTTAGGTGACTTCTTACGATGTTTTTCCAACGCGTAGGACAAACATGTATCGGACGTTCCTTTGGGTTCTTGTGAACTTGGTAAAATTGATTTTTTTTCTTCCTATTTCGAAGAAAGTTATTTACCAAAAAAATCTTGTTTTATTGATTATTTTCCGCGAGAAGCAATAAGTTACGAAAAACGGGAAACTTTTTTAACGTCACTATTTAATCTACCGTCGTTTAGTTTTATTTTCATGAAAGGTATGAAAGTTAGAAAAAAATTCTTAAAATATACTGTGGATACTTGCATCTTAGGTACCATTGAACACATCACGAGAGTTTGCATAGCATCTTTAATAGTATTATTGATCCGCTTAATGGAATCGTTTATTTCTTTGTTGATAATCTCACTCAACTTTGTCGGACTGATATCTTCGTCGCGCGCGAACTTTCTTTTCGCTGATACATTCATGCAAGTCTCACGCTTGATCCCTTCCTTTCCACACGTTTTCAAAGTGCACACGCAATTCGCCTCCGGCATCCTCTTATCATTTTCCGCCTTATTTTCCGGCTCCTGTTCTCTCTCTTTCATGATATCTACTCCCTTCTCTTCGGTCGCGCTAAAGCTTTTAAAGCTTCTCTCTTCCCTGGTTTCGGCTGATCGGCGAAGAACGACGTATCGATCCTCGACGTGAAAAACCGATGGTCTTTACGTCGCGAAAGAGGTAAGCTACATTTGCACTGCGCAAAAGTATCTTTTGTGCGGGGAAATACCGTGCTTTATCTCTTGAGTCTTTAAATCCTCCGTCGGCCGAGAATCTATCGCTTTTCCGTTCGCTTCGATTTTTAACCCTAATCGTTTCTGTACGTATAAGCTTCTTAGCCCCATTATCGTTTCTCATGATGCATGTTTCCCTCAGCTTTATTATATAAATATATGTAACGCACTGTGTCACTTTTTATTTGTTTGACTCTTAGAAATCCTCATATTTTTTATTGACAAGCTACAATCATTCATACTTGGAAATTTCAGCTACTTGGATTACGTCATACTGAATGACAGTATTTGCAACGATAAAAAGGAACGTCGAAACAAGTTACTGCATTTTTTACTTTTCACTTTTATAACGTATCGAGTAATTTTTAAAACTGAGTTATTTGATTTTCGATATGAAATTTTTCACTATGCCCCAGAATCTCATAATTTGATTAATCTATAAAAATAATATCCTACATAGTTAAGAAATTAACGAAGTTCAAGAGCGTACCTGTTATATCTCTCAAAACGTATTTTTAATGAAAAAGTTTGTAAACTTTTCCGGCAATTCGAATTATCTGGCAATAATCGGAAATACAGTTCAGAAATACAGAAAAAAAGAAAGTTATTGAACTTATTCTTAAGGATTTTGACTTTTACTTGCTTTTCTTTTTTTGTTTCGATGATATGTGCTCACAGGAAATCGACCAATACATTATTCACGCAGCTTGTTGATCGCATTTCCGATGGTCACGACTTTCGGAATCCTTCGTGATTTACGAGCGTTCTCAATTTGCCTGTGAAAAATGTACGGTCGTCTTCAAATAATTCCGCGTTAGTAGATAAATTCTCACACAATAATTTTGACTCGTGCCTATTGAGCGTATTAATTAATCGCTTAGCTGTAGTAGTATATTTCAACGTCACTGATAAGAAATCTGTTGTTTTCTTTTGATTCTTGTAGTCGCTCCACTTGTTTTCAAACGAATACTTCAGCGCAGCTGCGTGTTATTCGGTTATGCATAAATTATTGCGTTCGCATGACGAAGAGCGTGAGAAACGCAATTTCTTTATATTATATCAGCCCTGACAAATATTTGATACGTTGCTCCGTAACGCCGCAACTTACCGAAGACACTTGACAACATCGTCGGCAGTCATTGGCCGCGTTCATCAGAACGTATATTTTTACAGCTGTTGAAAGTTTTCCTCACTGAAATAGGACTATTCCTCTAAATTTACAAGTAACAATCCAATCAGAGCGAAAAAACCGTTAATTATTTTTTAATATGACAACATTCCAAGATTAGTCAAGCTTACTATTAAACACGGTTTTTTAGATCAATTTTGTCAAATTGATATCTAAAACTGAGTTGCAAATTAGAGTTTGTTATTTAGATCATTTTATAGACAACTTTAACATTTAAATAATATCATTAATTCGATTACAAAATTCCTTTATTGCATACTATAACATATTTATGAGATATCAACGGTGTTATCTGTAGTTTCGTCGGCTGAGGTCGAAACATCAAATCGACGACGTTCGCAATAATTGCAAACCGATGACATCTCGCTAAACGATTCGCTTTGAAATCTTCGAGTTGCTTCATATATCGTAGTGCACTCTTTTTCTCTTTCGCATTTGTCACATGTTGGCTGCATACATAGGAACATTAATTACAATATTAATTATATTCTACTGAAACATAAAGCGTTTATATATTAAATAGCCATAGAGCGTAAATTAATTTGAAATTGTTTCAGCTTCCATACTGAAAGCCAACAACTGAATATTCCATAGTTAATACAATTTACGCGCACAAATCCACTTTAACCGTTCTTATCCCGGTTAAATTTCTCGCGAATAAAGTTTCATTTACCTTAAACCTGTTAACAACTTCCTCAAACTTCGACGTTGTCGTAAATCCACCACCATCTTCGTCTTCATTTTGGGGGGGAAACAATTGTTTTAGATCTTTAAATTTGTCTGCGCGCTGAGATAAATATATTAGAGGCTTCTTGGCTTCCACTTTCTTCCGAAACTCACGTACCACGTCTTTGAAGATTTGCGTTTCTTGATAGGGAAGGGTATTCCCCTCGGTTGATCTCGTGGAGACCTTGGAATGTATCATATCGAAACTGAGAGATATTCTATATCTTTAACCTTTCATTCTTATAATGACCATACACTGCTACGTAATCACATTGAGAATACTTCATTTTCAACATAGCAACAAAATATATTAGGTTAAAAATATATTAAAATCTCCAATTAAAAGCAAATTAATCAAGCTGTATTAGCACATATTATTACATACGACAGCGTTTAAGAATTCTTATCATTTTTAAATAATATGAGAGTCAAAATGTTTTTACCGAAGTTAATCTGCTGACGGTTTCATGAGCATCGCATATTACAGAAGCATCGCATGCCTGATCTTTCGATTTGGCACTCGAGGAAGAATTCCTCGTGCTTCGAAGAGCACTCAAAGCCGTCCATCTTCTCGCTTCTCGTTCCTGAATTAATCTCATTCTATCATGTTCCTTCAGCTCTTCTATTAAACCTGGCGCCTGATACGTGGGTAGATATTTTTTCAACATAGGTATTTCCAATCTGGTTTCACGTACATTAACGTCATATTTCTTTTTTATTTGCTGCGGTTTCTTTTGTAATGAACTGTAATTTAAAAAACTAATTTGATTTTTTTATTCTAAAATTTGCAATATTTTGTATGCAATACTCTCTATCCAGCTCAATATTATTGAATTTTATTTTGAAAATCTTTCTATATTTGTAATATTTTACTTTTGTAAGCTATAATAAACATAAGCATATTAGGAAATTTTAGTTGCTTAAGTATTTCTATTTTCTCTATAATACATATAAGATTTAAATCTATAAATACTCGTGACAGGGACTTAAAAGTTCCCGTTGATCCCAATAGTCTTGACAGCGGACTATTTGCTCAGGTGCCTTAAATTGCGGTTTAATGTGACAAGACCAGACTTCAGGGTTGTTTGTAGATTTCAGATCGTTGACATCATCTTTCCTGCTTTGAGTAGCTTCCCTGCCGCGAAGATTACACTGAGTTTGGCGATTTTCTCTTAATTCAGTCACTGATCTTAATGTAGGAGCAACTCTTCTCTGTCTTTGAATGTCGTCAGGGTACCATCCTGAGTGACTTGCACAGTGAAAGTCTTCCGTGTGCATTGCACTATTAAATAATTGATGTTAGGAATTTACACGTAAACATATAAGTTATAACACGAGTGTATTTACCTAGGATGTCTCCGAGTTCGTATATCGCGGGTGTAAATCTTTTCCCGTTTCCTTCTAGTACAAAGCTTTTCTTTAATCAATGTTGCTTTATTGCAAGATTTTTGTTTTCTTCGCGGTGAACTACTACTCTCAGGTTCCCTATCCACATTATGAAATTATTTTCTTATAATATAGATTAAGTAGATTAAGTAATAAAACACATTAAGAAATTTTAAAAATCTTTTCTCTCTTACATTTTGTTTTATTTATTACCTTTGTCTACGACATTCACTCTTATCAATCCATTTTTCTTGTTTTCTTTTCTCTTTTTTCCCTCTTTTTAACAAGCCAGCTACTCTGGGAATTTGTGTGTCGATATACGGCGTCGTATCACGCTTTTTGTATTTTTCAGATTTTCGCAGATATGCTTGGACACTCTTTTCGGGTAGTGCTGCAAATTTTCGAATTTTATGCGCGGAAACCTGCACATTTTTTTGTACCATTTCAATATCTTCTTTAAATTCCGCCGACTTTCTATCGCCAATACGTATTTCCGCCGCTCCCGATTGCTTCGTTAATTTTTCCACGGCAGGTTTTTCACGTCTTTTTACTTGGCACGTGACGCCGTACAGCTCCAAACGAGCTGACGGATCGTACAATCGAACTTTATCATTTGCTACCGAAGTCGACGCTATCACTTTTTCTCTGGTTTTTTTTTCTCCAGCTAATTCTTCAGCTTGTTCCTTTTCGACAAAGTATTTTCTCACACCTCCTTCTTCCGCGGTATTATTTGACTCCGCAATTGCTCTGCTATTTTTCGCTAATGATCTTCGTCGATCATTTTCGATTAGAGCTTTTTCTGAAGCTCGATCAGTTTCACTATCTATCGATGTTTCTTCCGCAGTGACAATTTCCTCTACCTCTTTTTCTGGAAATCAGGAAGTATACTACTTGATTGAAGTTTCTGTTTTTTCCTTTGTATAAAATTCTAAAGCAAAAAATACTTTGATCTAATCTTTCCCAATCTGTAATCAGCGTTTCCTTATCTGTTTCTGACATTCCGTGCGTTATAAATATTTCACTACTTTGTTCTGCAATGGCACCGGTGTCCGACTGACTTCTGCTATCTTTAACATCGCAGGATATTTGCGATGTACACGAGCAAGAAATCTAAATCAATTTTTTGTTAATACGAGTAAATATAAAATTGTAAGAATTAAGAGTATCTATGTAAATAAAAAAAAAGTTAAATAACGTATAAATAAGTTATACGCTGGCCAGAAAATTAATACTATTACAGAAATAAATACGAAACGACAAGTGTACTTGAGTATAGGCATCACTAGTGATGTCCGACTTCTGATTATCGATGTCGGATATTCTGGTATCTGATAAAACATTAACACGTTCTATCCGACGAATACATTCCCGTTTCAATTGCAAATCTTTAATCTCGTCCACTTCGAAATACGCTGTATCCTTCGAAATCGACTGAAGATATCTTTAATACGGATTACATCGCGTTTGATATTAACGTTATAATAAAAAAAGTTATAATAAAAAAATAAAAAAATATATACATATTGTGGATTTTATAGTTATCTTTATTTGTATATTAATATTTATCTCTTACAATTAGACAACTAAAATTGTACTGTACCTTGGTAATTCTCTTGTCGTAAATTTCTTCTCGTGTGGATATCTCGGTTTTACATCGTCAGCTCTCGCGTGAGAATCCGGTTGGCGACAGATCGTCCCGCGACGTGCACGATGAGAATCATAATTTCTGCTGTAAATATTATCCCCGGAATCGTCATGATCTGAGATGATTTGCAAACAATCTACTTGCCGATCGTGCGCCTTTAAGAGCGCTCGCTGTTCGTTCTCTTCGTCGGAGGTAGACGAGGAAGAGCCGGAGGTAGAGCCCTTACGCTTCGCGTCCTTTTTCGTAGTGCGAATCCGTCGATACGTTCGTACGGGCGAGGTAGATTGATTTCCACGAAGCATCCGTGCTATTCTATCCAGGAGAGACGGTTTTCTCGTTCGCCATTCGCCGTCGCTATCGGTCGTCTAAAAGGAAACGAAAATTCACCGTAAACGATCGACGCAGAAATTACTGATTAAAAATAAAATAGGAAGGAAATACGCCAGCGAGATAGCGAGGAAGTTATTTTACCGCGCGCGTACCGTTCTCCTGCCGAGCCAAGAAATTTTCGTGAGTGCAGCAAGAATTCTTCCTACGCGACTACTTCGTTTCCTTGCTTTGGTAGCGCCGTCCTTTAAGAGTAATTCCTTTGAGCCGTCGTCCATCTCAATGTGAATTACTTCTTCCTCATCTAGCTCCTCCGTAGCGCAGGATTCGGTGTCCGCTATTGATGTAGACGTGCTGGAATCGTCCTTGCGCGGGGAAGAGCAGGATTTCCTTTTCAACCTGGTACGAAGCCTCCTACGAGCTCTCACCACGAAACAGGACGTCGGATCCTCGCTGCTCGAAGTAACCTCCTCCTTCGCCAATGGCTCGTTAAAAATCTGAATGACATTTACCGCTTAAGCTCTCGTTATCGGCATTGATCGGTTTTTTAAATCAATTTGCTTTTTTATTAATATAATTAAAATCTGAGCTTTGATTAAAGCATCTGAAAGAAAGCCGATAATTTATTTATATTTTATCTAAAAATCGCGACGTCAAGTGTAAGATTATAATTTGGACGGAATTTATTCCCATTAAAGTTAATTTCATTAAAAAACCTTTTATATAAATTCTTTAAAATAAATTAATTTAATTTAATTTTAATTTATTACGTAGCCGTGGAAATACATTGGGATTACAGTATGACACGCAAAAGGTCAGACGTCAGCAATGTTGCTGCTATGAGACTCACCAGAGAAACAATGTGAAACAATGTGAGACAAAACAAAACAGAGATGTTATATGTAGTAACAAATTACTTAAGATGAACAATTACTTGAAAGCGAAACGCGCGGAGAATAATGATTCGTGAAGGAAAAAGAGATTAAGATCTTTTTAAAAGATTTTTCGTGCAATGCCTCACTTGAATTGTAACGTCTTCTCTTATTTTCTGCGCTTCGATATCTTTGAATGGCGTTCTCCAACGCTCGATTTCAATCTCTCGTAATCCTTCTTGATAAGCTGACATATGTATGAATTACTTTTACTGATGATTTGTAAAATAAATTGCGCATATTTGAAGGCATACGTTTATAATATAAATAAAGTGCGAAACGCGAACGCAGATAGGTGATATACGTACTGTAACTATAGACCGAATCAGAACTACTTTCACTGATATCAGCGTCTGTTTGTACCGCTTCATCTTTCTTTTCAACAACTATTCTTTCAATTCTTTCCTTTTTTCTTTCTTCCAATATTTTTTCCGACACTTCTTCGTCCAATATTATTTCTTCCGGAATTTTTTCCTCTTCTATTTCTTCTTTTATTTCTACTTTTTCTTCCGGTTTTTCTTCTTCGACAATCGGTTCTTCTTTTTCGATAAAAGTAGTTATTGGTACAGGTTCCTTTTTCGCAATCAATTCGCGATCATCCGATGAATCTCTAATTTGATTAAAAATGAAAAGTGCAAATAAATCTATATATACATATATATGATATATATATATATATATATATATATATATCCTATATATATATGCATAATATGCTACTTGAAATAATATATTTTAAACGTAAAAATATAAATATTTTTGTTAATTGTAATAAAATAAACGTATGATTTTTCTAGAGAGAGAGAGAGAAAGAGAGAGAGAGAGAGAGAGAGAGAGAGAGAGAGAGAGGGAGAAAGAGAGTAATTTATTTAGGAAAGAAAAATAATCAATTATGCTCTGAACAGAAACAAATATTATAGCTCTTTAAAACACGATATATTCGTACACAGCTGTATTTTAAAATGTATAATATATAAATAGTTATATATTTAATATACATTGCTTGCAATGCTTAATAGTGTATTACTTTCAGTCTCGCGTTTTGTAAACTCTCTTACAACATGATTTATTATTGGAACTCACTGCTCCTCGCTAATATCCGTTAAATCGCCGTATTCGATGGGCGATCGACAAATCGTGCAGAGATTTTGCAAGTCCGCGAAGCATTGGATGCAGAATAAACCGACGCAGCTCGGCGTGGCGCATTTAATGTGCGGTTCCTGATCGGAACGTTCCACGGCACCGCACAGGAGACACACGTTCTGCTTCCGAGGGAACAATTTGTTCAGGAAAGGGCAGATCGCCAGGCATCGTTCTCTAAACGTGACTCTCTCGATCCTCTCGCCCTCGGTCATGCCGAACTTGCGGCGCAACTGGCGTCGTGCAAATTTCAGAAAACTTCCTCTTGATCTGCGCGAATTGGATCCATTAACTGAACGCGGTTTTCACGTAATTTATATCGTGTAAAGTAAACGGAAGAAAAACTAAACGGCAAATTGCACGAAGGAACATCGTTACTTTTTAAAGCAATTTAATATTTAAAGAAAGTTAAGTTTTTCAAACATTTCACTGAGAAATCTTGTCAGATTTTAATATTCAGTTAAAAGTGATGAAGCGTACTTTTAATGTAATCGACCGGCATCAACCTTTAATAATATTTTATGCAGCGACCAGCATAAAAACTTTGTTGAAAATAGCATAATCTGATATTTGTGTGTCAGGCGGTTACTTAACTAATTGAAAGTGCATTACCTAATTATATGGTTATACAGCCAAGCGGCTCTTTGCTTCGCTCTTTCCGGATGATATTTGCACATCACGATATGCCGCAGTCGCAATCCGTACGGCTCGAATATCGCCATGAGCCAGCAGAAGGCGATTAATGTTACGATCTGCGTATACCGATCTAAATCTGGTGGGATGGGATCTGGGAGGCAGGGCGTCACATCGATCTCTGTATCCTTCGCGTGCGGCGTGAAGGCTTTCACGATACTTCGATAAAGGTCGGCGAGATAGCCGTCACCAGACACATAGACGCCCACGAAATTGGGTCGTTGGACCTGGAGATCGATATATACGTTCCGCCATTATATTACCTTCCATCGTGATTATTCTACGCCACGGTATATATCTGACCGCCGATTGTCAATATTCGCCCGCACTCCACGCAAATCTCGATAACAAAATTGCGGTTCTAAGCTAACAGAGCATTTAATCAACTCGGTCCGCGAAATGTACGTTAATTGTGATTTAATTTCTTTGAGCCTATTGCTGATCATCAATTTAAAAATTGCTTTCCATTATTTTGTTTATATCGCGATAGAGATAATTAATAATTACGATATTGAAGATAAAATGTTTGCTTCCAAATGTTACAAATAAAATTCTCGAGGCATGCATTATTTTCTAATTAATATTGATCATCGAGATACCTTTGTTTCGATCCGTCCGTGATATCTAATTGTGTTAAGAATCCAAAAAAGGCTATAGTCCGCCATCATATGAATGCAGATTTTGAATGTTGTTAAGCCCAAAAAAACTGCTGATTTCGTGAGCTTTATTTTTTCTACCTTGATCAACGTGACGGACGTCAGTGGGATGTATTGATTTCTTTCGCGACGGTTTAGCGGCAGAATAGTTTCCTTATCCTGACGTGTTCTTATTAGATCGATGGTGCGCAGATCATCAGTCAAGTATCGATTATCAAAGCGTTCGCTCGTCAGCCATCTGTGTCGATAATGCAAGATTCTGAAAAATATTTCGATTTATCAAGTAATTCAGGTTGCACAAATGAATAAAAAAAATAACGTTTTAAATTTTACCTTAGCAGCATGAAGAAAATGAAAAAAGTGGTCATAAAACTCATCCAATCAAAAACGGCTAGAAACTTATCGGTCCTTGATCGTACCTCCGTAATTATACCAGTCGATACGTCCTCGATAGTTTTACTTTGGTTCGTTTCAAAGTGAAAAGAATGTGAAAATTTCACTTTAACGTAGAACATCGCTTTTATGTGGCGAGTGAACTTTTTAATTTCTGTGTATAAACAAGAGATATTAAAAATCACAAAGTGTAATATGAAAGTTTATTATGCCGATGGAAAAATTTATGAATTTATGGAATGATTAAATGTGTTTTATGCATATTTAAAATTATAAATTGTAGTCGAGTAAATTTTGAAATTCTTGACATTTATAGGAGTCCGGAATTTTTAAAAAGTTATAATATGTAAACTCTTTCTCTTAAAAGATTTTTATATAATTTATAATCTCAACATACTCCTCCGTACGGCGTTAACTATAGTATCGGCGACATAAGACACGAGCATGCAGATGAAGTCTAGAGGTTTCACTATGTAGCACAAAGCGCCGACGATGTACGTCAGATTGCAAATCCCCCCGAAAAGGGGGCCAAGCTTCGCCTTGCAATCAGCCACCGCGCCGTCGAAGACTCTCTGACACCTGTCGAACGGCGTACCCAGTTTCTTGTTGCAGATATTCACGACGCTGCCGAGCCATTGAAAAACCGACGTGATCACTCTCACTGAAAGATACGTTTTTGAAGTTACGAAGATCGATTATACGCGAACCCGCGAGGTGCGAACGATTGACTCACGTATACTAAGCACGAGACGCTTGATAGCCACGAGAGTCCGCTTAATCTTCTTCACGACCACCTTCACCGTCTTTATTACTTTCGATATCGCGTCTCTGAGAGCGTAGAAGGGTTCTTTTATTAAGTCGACCACGTTCTTCACGGCTTGCTTCAATTGCTCCTGTGCGCGCATGGTATGTTTTTGTTGATTCACATTAATAATGACAGTTCCAGATAATGACGACAAATCAAAAGGCACGCTCGAACTTGTGAATTCGAGAATGTGCAACGGAAAGATTGCGAAATCAACGATACGAATGTTCAAGTCTTTTGTCGATCAAACAAAAGATCTAATGATGAACAGAACGTGTGGATTCAAGGATCCGACATTGTGCAAAGCCATAAGTGGAATAGCGCAAGCAAACTCACCTGTAAGAGCTTACCTGTCCACAGGCTAAAGACTCCGAAAGGACACTGATATTATGCAAGATATTCTTCGCCGGTCCGGTAAGCGTTAGAATAAAGGCATAGGCCATCAAGGCCTGTCTGCCACGTTTAGAAAAGAACTGCGGCAGCAATAGAAACACGATACACCTGTGTGTAAATGCTTACATAAATTTGTAAAAAAATGTACGAGTAATAAAGAAGATAGAACTATAAGACACAATAAAAGCGAGAAATATCAAGGTATAATTTTGATATTTTTTAGCTTAATAAAAATTTTTAATATTTTAAATATACCATATAACTCTCGTATTTATATATGTATATCGAATTTATGCGAAATTACCTTACACGAAAAGAAAACGCCAAACCGAGCGTAAGGATAACTCCGAGGACCGAGCACAGCATCGTGGCGGACGAAAGGGTAAAGCTCAGTTGAATCACGAAGAATACAAAAAATATGTACGTTAGAAATATGCCGCCCAAGAATCCAAACACGCTCTTCAAAATGTAATTCTCAAGAGAACCATTTGTGCGAAGGAGTCTCACTTTTTTATAAACCCATGTATGCTTTATGGAAGAGATTATTCGGCTCCAAAAATGCATAAGCCTCTTTCTGTATCTATTGGGATATGATTACATGAAATAGCTCGATCATAAAAAAATAGTGATACGCTCAAATAAAACATTCATGGAGCATAAAATAAAAGATCATTAAAATTCTAAAAAGAAAGAGAGAAAAAGAGAGAGAGAAAGAAAGAGAAAAAAACACTGATGAATTTTTTAGAGATAGGTACGATGTAATAAATGTTGGAGAGTAGAATTAATATTACACGTAAAATTAATATTGATCGACCGGTTAAATGAATTAAAAGGTGGCAGGCTCACTTTAATCTCTTTCGTCGAAGACGCTGCTTCAAAGTCAGACGGGGCTTGATACCCTCGGAGATCTCAATCGATCTCAATTTCTCATCTTCGTATCTCAACCTAGCTTTCTCGAGCTTCCTGGCTTTGAGAACTAATTGAAAAAATGCCATGATCTTATTCACTTACTTTATCTAATTCTTATCTGTTCTATTTCATACTGACACTTTTACGAGTCTTATGAATTATATTAACTATCTTAGCTAATAAATAACTACGATAAAAATATCACTGAACGTCATGGTTCCAGCATAAACTGAAGTTTCAGCAACTTGTATTTATTCATATTTTGATTCTTCGTTGTTTATGTTTTATCTATATTTATTTCTGTGTCTATAGTTTATCTGAAAAATGAGCTACTTCATGTATGTATTTGTATTTATTTATAAATTTTTAAGAATCGATTATTTTTCAATGTAATTTAACATTTTTCCAATAATTTTTATTTTATATCACTATATTGTAATTACTATACTAATATAAGTAATTAAAAAGAAAATTTTTATATCTATTTTTTAATACCCCGGGAAAAAAAGTTCCATATATAATTATATATAATTATATACAAAATATGTCCATATATGTTTCTTTCCTTTGTAAAATTATTCTTTAATACAAAATTGATAATAATAAGAAGGAAACATAAAAAATAATTAAAAGAATAATTTTTACATTGATTTCTTTTACAAAAAATAAAGTTTGAAGAAATGA